GCATCCCAGCTGGGCAGGACTGACTGGAAACAAGGAGTGCTTTTTTTGCTCCCACCAGCAAATCCCCCGAAGCAAAGCTGCAGGCTGGGCTGATTTCACACCCTCCTGACTCCATTTCCTCCTGTGCATTTTACAGAAGCTGTGCCAGCACCCCCAGGATGGGGTGACAGCCCTTCCTTCATCTGAAGCAGCCAAGGAGGCAGGAAATAATCGAGTGATTAAAACACAATTCCTCAGCTCAGGAAAGCCCCACATTCAAGATATGGTCACATTTGGAGCCACAGATCAAGGACTTGGCCAGTCTTATCGACAAACAGACTCCTACATAAAGAAACAGGACCCTCACTTTGCTATTCCAGCACCAGTGTGAACTAAAGGCATCAAGGAAAAGCTCTTTCCACCCAACTGACCATTTACTGACAAAATGGAAACACTCTTTATCTTCCCAACGTCTCATTTTGATTTGTTTTAATTGCAGAACAGTCTGGCTGTCCAAATCATCTCCTATCATTACATTTTTTTGGGTGCTCCTTAGATGGCTCTATTATCTCCCTTTCTGGCAAAGGCAGGAATGACTGGGATTCAATTAATTGGGTCTGCTGGATGGATCATCTGTTTCCCTGATAAAAGCTGGGCACTGACAGGGAACACGGCGAGAACATTTATCTGTTCCAAAGGATCCTTCCAATACCCTCAAAGACATTAAAGAAGGATCTGCCACAGCTGCCTGTCACGATTTACTGTTTGCAAGCTGCCCTTGTGGAGCCCTGGAAGTTTTCACCTGCTCACAGATCCTGTTTGCTCAGAGGGAGCATCTTTTACCTGCCCAGCAGCTCATCTGTCTCAGGACAGACACGGATTTTACTTTCTACTCTAGCACATCTCCCTCTTTTCTGAGGAAAGCCGAGGAGAAGGTGGTGAATTCTGACCCACCTCTGCCAGAAACACTTTTAATGCAACAGCTAATGTATTAACAAGGGACAGCCACCATCCTCACCCTCCTCCAGCAACACCGTGTCAAGGGGGCAAAGTCAGGTGAAGATTTAGAGCTTGAATCTTCACCTGACAGACCCTTTATAACTGAATCTAGTTTAAGAAGGTCAAGTCAGCTGTTACCTCGCCAGTTTTTGTCATTAGTTCCTCCTGGATATCCTCTCCAGCCTGGCTGTGAGTGCCAAGGTACGTGAACTGCCTCACCCCTCGCAGCCCTGACCAATGTTTGAGATGGGAGTTCCTGGGGCTCTCGTTGAGATTTCTTATTTCCCCACAGTTAATAATTAACCCCATCTCTTTTTTTTTCCTTTGTCTGTGCTGCTGGACAATCTGTTTTTAGCCCTGGGCCATCCTTTAGCCATATTTTAGCAGTGAAACCTCCATCTCCCAGAGCTCCAGGGCTCCGAAATGCCGGGGTCACCCCACGGTTTTGTCCTCGCGGCGCAGCGAGTGCCAACGTGAAACAGGAGAAGGGACAGAGCTCTGACACCACTCTGCCTCCCCTCCCAGCGGATCAAACAGTCCTCTGAAGGGCAAATTCAAAGCATCCCCAGCTTTTGAAACCTGAAGTTACTTTTTTGAGCCTTCCAAGGCTCGACGGCCAGAGTTTGGTTGCGTACGAGTCACAATGTCAGGGAAAGAAAAAAAGAGTCAAAACCTGATGTATTTCTGGGAATCAGCAAAACACCACGCATTTTAATATGCCAGATAACACCTGAGCAGGTGTAAAAGAACTGATCTCTAGCTGGATGTGTGAGGAGACAGGAAGGCAGCTCCTACAGGCTGCATTCCCTTAACTCCAGTGACTCACACTGCCTGGCACTATCATCTGTTAAAGCAAGAGTGAAGCAGGGATAATAGCTATTTACTAAAAACAGAGGAGCGTGATTAGCTTTAATTAGCATTGTCAAGTGACTTGAGATTGTCAGGTACAAGATGTGGGAGAACTAAGTCTCATTAATTATGTTATTTCCTGCAGCCTTAAGTGGCTTGGCCAGTCCAGTGACGCTTCCGGAGACGGAGCTGCTCCCGACGTCCGACACATTCCCGCTCCAGAGGGGGGAAAAACACTCTCAGAAAGGCCTGGAAGATGTGGCTGTTGAGTAAAGGGTCACAGAGAAGAAGAATCAAGAAGGATCAGAGCAAGAACAGCCGCTGGCCCTGACAAATGGGGACAAGAAGGCAAAATGACAAGGCAGAAAACAGGGAGAACCGACTGCCAAATTCCAGGGAGGATGAAGGGCAGGGATCAGTGGGGGCAACAGGGAATGTGATTCAGGCCCAGGACACAGCATTTGTGGAAAATCGTATTTTTATTGCCCTAAAAAGCCCAACCGTGAAATGCCTTTGTTTTGGGAGACAGAAATCCAGGTCCTCAATGGGCATCACCAACACACACGGTGATTTATGGGCTAAAAGATCTGTCCTGGAGCACTCAGGAATCCTAGAGAAGGAACAGTCCATCTCTTCATGGACTAGCCTTGGCTTCTGGAAGGCAAAGGAAACCTGTCCTTAGCTGATAGTTGCTGTGATTAGATCTGGAAGAGAAGATCTGCAAATAAACAGGCATGGAAAAAAGGATCCTGAAGGACCAGCTTACAGGCCTCTGCCAAGGAGGGGGAAAAGCAAGCTGAATATTCTGATTTCAGTGTGATAAATAGACTCTGCTCCCCTGTTCTGCTCTGGGCATCCTGATCAGCTTCAAAGCAGCCACAAGAACTGAATTTCTCCCTTCCAGACTCCACTCCATGACCCTTCCTGAACCCTCTGCCCCAGCTCTCCACTCCTGACCTCTAATGAAGACTCTGCTTAAGCTCAAGCAAACAAACTTCTGCCAATTAATGGCCAGAGCCCAATGAAAGCCTGGCTTTATTGGTGTCCCTTCAAGAGGCTTCCACGCACGTGGTGATGCAAGAACACAAAATAAATGGGTTTTGCTCCTCTGCAATCCCTGCAACGCTTTTGTAGTGCCCCAGCAAGATCAAGGAGCTCCCAACTTTCTAAACTGCCAGCCAGGACCTACCCAGAGTGACCAGTTCCTTAATTAAATTCTCTGTCTGCAACAGGTATTCATTCCATGAGTCAAGGAGCTTTTGAGGGAATGCAGATTTACAGGTAGGGATGTTGTCTTCCTCAACACAACCCTGGCTCAGCTACACCCACCAAAGCAGCAAAGAAAGGAAATCCCTTGTTTAAAAATCCCTGAATTCAGAGGACATGAGGGAGCTTTGCCAGTTATTCCCACCCTGGCACTGTGAAAGACACACCTGCAAAGATAGCTAAAAATTAATAAATAAATGAGAGGCGCACTTGACATCTTCATCAGATGAAAGCAACGTGTCTGCCCTCCCCAGAGCATTCCCAACCTCAGCTTCAAAGCACAACAATCACTTTAACGTGGCCTTTCAGCAGGAGGCAAGAATCAGGGATCCAGGGAGAAAAGGAGAACAGCTTTAATTCCCTGTCCCAGCCCTGCTGTTACACAGCAAACAACGTTTACAAGGAACCAGAGGCGTGGATCCAACACGACGAGATCTCTCGGAGAAAATCAGTGGGAGGGGAGTGCTCTGCGAGGATGAAGTCACAGAACACATCCTTTCCAGGCAGAATCCTCTCACGGATTAGAAGTCAAGCTCCCCTCGGTATCTGCTTGTTTACAACCCTCTAACTCAGCACAGGCCTCTCTGCACTGCCCAGCATAAGCTTTAAGGAACTGTAAACGCATTAGGGAGCAAATCCTCCTCTGGAGCAGGAGCAGGAGCAGGCCCCGAGGAAGGCACTGGCAGCAGGGCAGGTGTTGTGCGTGTCCCTCCCTCCCCAGCTGCTGTCACCGGGCTGACAGGCCTCTGACAGGCCTTCCTCGGGCTGTATTTACAGACACAGGAAGGGGGGGGCAGGTTCACTCCAATCAGCTGCTGCAGGATAAGGAGGAGGGTTCTACTTCTTTTTTTTTTTTTTTTCCCCACCCCGTTAAAATCACGTTCGAAAGCGCAGCGCTTCAAGTCGGTTTGGCTTCAAAAAAAAAAAAAAAAACAACCAAAAAAGCCAGCGTTAAAACCTGAAGCTACGACCCCCGGAGCTCCTCCTGTCACCTCAGGCTCGTGGCTCGAACCCAGAGGTTTCTATGGAGGAGCACAAACCCCTCACCCTGCAGGGCTCTCTGCACGACAGGAGGCTGCTACACCCTCAGCCAGCGGCCACAGCAGCCACGCAGCCCAGCCGAGCTCCCCCGCGCCCGGTTCCGCTGCTCCACGAGCCCCAAGTGCCCGGGACGAGGCCGGGAATGCCCCTTCCAAGGGCTAATCCCGGTGCCCCAGTGCCACCAACCCTGCCGTGATGTCACCGCCTGCAGCGGGCAGGGCCCGGTCTCCAGGGGCTCCGGAGTGTTGGTAAATAAAGACGGAGCTGCTGCCGCGGGACACGGGGCAGGGACACGGGGCAGGGACACGGGGCAGGGACACGGGGCAGGGACACGGGGCAGGGACACGGGGCAGGGCCGCCCCGCACCCGGGGAAGAGGCTGCACCTCCCGGGGGGTCCCATGGCGGGGGTCCCACCTCGAAGCCTCCCGCACAGCTCCGTGAGGGGTTATGGTGCGTTTACAGCGAGATGGGCGGCGAGGAACGACCAGCCCTGCTCCTCCTCCTCCTCCTGCTGCTGCTGCTCCTCGTTACCTCCCGGGGGTCCCTCCCGTCCATCCCCAGCCGGGGGGATCGCACCGACCGCCTCCCCCGCGCACAAAGGCGGCCGCTCGCCCCTCGCCACCTCCGGGGGAGCTCCGTCAGTGCCGGTGAAGGATGCGGGGGGAGCCCCCCGGGGCCAGCGAGGTGGATGGAGGGGGGGACGCGGCGACACAAACGGACAGGGCGACACAAACGGACGCGGCTGTGGCGCAGCTCCGCGCAGCCACACAACCCCAGCACGCCCCGCAGGCCGGGCCCTCCCCGAGGTGCTCGGCTTCCCCCTCACCCCTCAGCGCCGTGCCCGCTCTGCCGGTGCCTCACTCACCGCGGCCGCCCCGAGCGCGTCCCGGCGCGGACCGAGCGCGGCGCCGCCGACGCGCACAGAGCCCTCAGCGCCGCCCCCGCCCCCCCCCACACCTCTTATACCCGTCCGCGCGCCTGAGCGGCGGCGCCGCGGGCCAATCGCCGCCCGCCGCCACATAGCAACACGCCGCCCATTGGCCGAGCGCGGCCGCAGCCCATCTACCGCCAGCCAATGGGAAGGCGGGGGATGGAGGGGGGGAGCGGGAGCGCGCCCCGCGCGCTCACGAGGGCGTGCGCGCGGCTCTTAAAGGGGCCGCGTCCCGTCCCCCCCGCGCGGGGAGATGCGCGGGGATGGAGCCGGGGGGGATGCGCGGGGTAGGGGATGCTCGGGGGGCACTGCAGCACCACGCCGTGACCCCGGGGGTCCCGCCACGCCCGGGTTCCCAAGGCCGGGGCTGCGGGCGCTTTCCAGTGGCTGCGCGTTATTTGCGACCATTCCTGCGCGCGGGTCATCGGCGTTAATAAACGGCTGTAATTAGCGGTGCCTGCTGCTCCGGGGTGGGAGCAGTTCCCACACACAGCCCGAAAACCCACCGATACTATGTCGGCTGATCTCTGAGATCATAATTAACACGAGGAGTAATTGCACAATGAAGATATCCCGTATTTCTGCTGGAAATCTCCATCAGCTCCATCGCTGGTTTTCTCCAGCGCTGATCTCGGGAATCTTGTGCCCAAACACCCCAGCGCAGCCCTCTGTCCATCACACACACAGCAAACCCAGCCAGAGGGCAGGGGCACAATTAAAAGCCGCCCTCTCCCAGCACCCTAATTAAGACACGAGCTCCCAGCAGCTCTGAACGAGGTAATTTGAAGGCTTTTTAGTCCCAGCTCAGCGTTTGAGTGCTAATTACAGTAATTCATCACTGGACAAGCACAGGTTTAATAAGCCCAGGCTGGGTTGGGGTGGAAGGGACCTCAAAGCTCCTCCAGTTCCACCCCAGGTTGCTCCAAGCCCCGTCCAACCCAGCCTTGGACACTTCCAGGGATGGGGTTTTGAATTAATGTTTCTTCTCTCCCCTTTCCTCACACCCAAGGATAAAAGTTCTACATCTTACAGGCTGAGATGGATTTGCTTTGTGAGCTTATTCTTGCTCTAACACTCCACTGCTTTAGCAAATTCTTAATAGTTTAAGCAACTCTGCAGTAATTGGTAATTCCTAAAGACTGAAAGGGCAATGATCTGGTTCAAATGTTAAATATACAGATTAATACTAAGCAAGGGGTGATAAAAGGCAATATTTCTATTAGTTGTGATATTCTTTCTTATTAGATGTGGCTAGAAAAATTCCAACCTACCTTGTGATATAAATTAAATCTATTTTTCTTCCATACCCCCCTGATCACATTACTAAGCAGCTGCCAGCTGGTTAAAGGGTTCTACCTCCAGATTTTAAAATTTAAAAAAAAAATAAAGGACATTTTTTTTCCCCCCTGTACACTTCAAATATCCTCTTATTGAAGATTCGAGCACCAAGAAAATTGCTGTGTTGAAATTCAGCTGCACTGAACGTTTCTGGACAAGATTATCTGCAGGAAGTGGTGGCAAACTTTGCTTGAACTTTTAAAATCACCCTGACTGGTAGTAAAGTAACCACAAGAAACCACCAGCAAAATCAATTTGCATCATCAAGAGGCTGCTGCAGAGCAGTGAAATTGCGGTTTGTTTTTTTTCCCATCTCTGCAGCAGAATTTTCAGTTTGCTGATAAAAATACATTTTATTTACAAGGTGAACATCAACATTTACAAAGGTTTCTGCTGTAATAAGGCTGATTTAGGGTGGTGATTAATTGGAATTCTATTGATGCAAGTTCAGCCTCACCATGGGGGGGGTTCACAACAGCTTTGAAGTCGTAGAAAAATAGCACCATAAAAGGCCCAAATTTCTTCTTTATCTTCTAAATCCACATAATTTACAAAACCCAGAAGGTTTCTAGGGATAACAGTGCAGCATTTTACCCCCTGTTGAATAATAAAATGCTGGTTGGGTTAAAAGCTACTTTCTCAGTGAGGTTTCAAGTCACCTTTTGGTTCTGGCCAAAGTTTGGCTTCAAACTTTAAACTTCTGCTGGGCTGAGCTTGGGAGAAATTAATTCATTTAAAAAAAAAAAATCAAAAAAAATCTGAATTTTGGCCCTAACCTGGAATCTTCCAGCTGAGCAGCTCAGCAGGATTTTTAAATTCCTCTTATTTGCACTGATAAAGCAGCACCGCCTGGGGGTCACTTTTGCCATGGCAGGAGTGAGAGGGGGAATGTCAGGTCACTCACTGAGATGCCCTTTCAGTGCTGCATTAAAGTGGGGCTTAAAATCCCATCAAAACCTCACTTTCTGAACACTCCCGAATTGTATTTGCAGCTGGTGGTGTTGGCCTTGTTGTTGAGATACCTCACCTGATCCTGCCTTTCTTCTCCCTTTGTAAATTGGGAATATTTCAGGCTTTTTCAGGAACATCCTCAAGCATTTCAGGCGTTTCCAGCAGTGACAGAAGAAGTGGTTTTTCTTCCCTAACTCACAGCATCGTTATTTTTGGTCCAACCACCTGTAATTGTTCCCCAGTGCCCCCAAAAAATCACTGAGACATCAGAAGTGAAGCTATAAAAAAAAAAAAAAAGGCTCCTATTCCCTCCCACAGGAAAATTCCAGGGTTTAGAATTGGGAATTCCACCATCCCTAAAAGCCACTGTGCAGCTTAACCAGGCCCGGAAAACTCGGGAGCTGCAGCTGAACGAGCCTTTGGTTTTCACCAGGTTCCCCATCCCTCTGGCTGCTGGGAATTGCCGTGTGGAGCGCAGAGCTCCATGGAAATCCATCGGCAATCCATGGGGAACCGCGGGCTGTGGCGGCCTCCTGCGGCAGGAGGGCGGTAGGGACAGCCCCGTGGATGTGTTCAGGTTTGGTGGTTGGTGTGGATTTTATCCATTCTCCAGGGTTTTTATCCATCCTCTCTTGCTCACACCAGCGTAGAAAAGTATATCCTGAATATTCTTGAGAATACCTGCACCTCCAGCCTTCCTGCTCTGGGGAAGAAATCCGAATTTCTTGGGTTCTGAAAATATCCTGAATCATCTGTTTGGTTTATGAGAAGTTACACAACCTGAAGGCAAAACACTTCTCATGTTAAAAGACACGTGAGCACTCATTAATGCTTCCCAATTCCATCTTCTGGTTTATTAACCACTAAGAATGTGTAATAAAAAAATAAAACACCATCCCAGAGCAACCTGGGGAATCCTCTCATCACCCTGCCCAAATCCTTTGGAAATTACTCAACATCATCACATACAAACCTGCACTTCACCTCACAGGAACCCCTCAAGGCTTTACAATTACACTTGACCTTAAAACCTAATATTTAATGTTGTTTAATGAAAATCCAGTAGGAAAGCTGGAAATTTAGGACTAGAGGGAATGTTAACCTGCTCATCATCAGACAGGGAAACACACTGTACAGAAAATTCTGCACGTGGAATTCCTGTTAATGCAAACTCAAAGCAGCTCCTTTGCTGTCCCCAAAATCAACCTGTCGACTCCCAGAGGCTGTTTATACTCAATAATCCATTGATTTTTTCACTCAACATCCACAATCTTCCCATAAGTCTCCCAGGAAAGTGAGCAGGTGGAAGACACAGTGTGGGGGAGACAGAACAAGTGTCCTTAGGACACCACAGAAAGGAATAATTCAGAGGGTAATTTAAAGGCCACAGTAAAAGAATTTGAAGTCTAAATTATCAGCTATTTACTGTTTCAGAGACCAAATAAATGAATATGATTATTAATCAAGTGACAGAAGCAGACACAGCCCTTTCACAGTGAGGGCTCTCATTTCAACCTGCAGCTCCTCAGCATTTTCCCTCCCCCATTCAATTCAGGTGTGATTTACATAATAAAGAGGATGTGACATCATCCACAGCTGGGAACTGCTACATTCTGTAATTAAACTAATGAGTCTGATGTCTAGAACCAGGCTGCACAAGGTGATTGTTGTCAGTGCTTTCAGAACCTGACCTGCAGTGTTCTAAACGTGCCCCAGGACCAGGCCATTCATCACCCAACTGGGTGAACCCCAAAGAGCACGTTTAACACAGGACCACCATCAAAAGCCCAGTGTTTACTCCACTGCAAATATAAAATCATCACCACAGAAACGAGGCTTTCAGGCAAAGAAGTCACAATTGGTGTTAAAGCTTGAGATCTTTTCGTGAGCAAAGATGTTTTAATGTGTCACATTTCAAAAGCATCGACCTTCCTTTACACGGAAAGAGCAAACCCTTCATGGCTTTGGAGCCAGAGAGGTGCACGAGGCTTTCTGCAAGTTAAAAGTGCATGAAACACACACATCATCCTTCATACATGAAATATTCTGCAGCAGGGTGGAGGACACAGTGTTAAAAAACAATATTTAAGAGTTAAAAGTACCTGAAAAGAATCTCCCCTGGAAAAGAGAGAGATGGATGGAACATCCTTCCTGGACAGTTGCTGCAAATTCCCAACAACAGCTTTTCTGTACCAGTGGTTTTAAAAAAAAAACAAACAATAAAATCACACAGCGAGTTCTGGAATATTTAAAACAGTTTTTTGATACAACAAACACCTGACAGTTGCCTCAAATCCGTGCTGTTTTGTCACAGACAGTTGTCATGGCCTGAGCCCTGTGCGCTGGTGCTCAGACCATCCACGGACCATCATCTGTCTCAAGAGACCCAACTTTAGCCTTGTACTGGAGCCCAAACAGGTGAATGAATAAATTCAGCTGCTTTTCCAGCAATTCCCTCCCATCTAACTTGGCTCCCTCAAATTCCAGATATGGAGCAGCTGATTTATCCAAGGTCATGTATAAAGAGCCCAGTCAGAAGCTACATCAGATGTGGGAAGACCGGTTGGGTCTAACGGTTGGAAAATGTGCTGAGCATCTTTGAAGGCAGAGATTTCCAGCACTGAAAAATACTGACATTAAAAAAAACTACATCTGTCTTTTGTCATTCAACACAGGATAATGCAAAACTGCTTATTTAGTCAGTGATGGGGGAAACTTGAGAGATAAACTAAGCCCTCTCGTGTCCCTTGAGAGATTAAAAATGGTGGTTTAAAACTCAGCTCTCCCTAGCCTCAAATAAAAATAAAAAAAGGTTTTGATGTGTAAGTGCTATTTGGTAGCAATTTCTAAAACCAGAATTATCTTTAATGGAGGTGCATGTGTTGGAAATTCAAGAGCAATAAAACTGAGCTTAAGGAAACCACACTGCATAAAAAACTACCTGGGGCCACAAAATGGTGGAAATTTTTAATTTAGAAAGGTGGAGTTTTTTAATTTACTTACTGAGCTGCAAATGGAGCCTATTCCATAACTATTCTGGGACTTCTAGAGAAGAGGCAGAGCTATGACTGGACTGATTATTAAAACTTATCTGACTTATCTGACCAGACAGAACTGATCTGAAAGGGAAACAAAAAGCTTAGCGCATAATAAATAATTTCATCCTTTTTCCCCATGAACAGTTAAGAAGATACATTTTCCTCTCTTTGATTCAACAAGCAACAAGGGTGATTAAATCAGGAGGAAATTGAACCTGCAGTCACCCTGATGACAAATTTGGGAGGGTTCTTGCCCTGCCATATCTGAGCTACCAAGGGAAAAATGGCTTTCAAAGTTCTCCTAACAGTGAGTGTACCCTGCAGGAAATACACTCTGGCACCTGGCCACTGTCTTTGTTCTTGAAATCCATCATTTTCATGGGAAGGAAACTTCCAGATCCTGCTGGAGCAAAACTAGTGTTTAGTGATAGTCTGATGATGAAATGACTGAGCTTTATACGTGTCACTGGGTACAATTAAGCCACAGTAATTAAACTCCTTCTGACCCCACACCAAAGCACAGGGACACTGCAGGCTCAAACCTGCCTGGCACATGGATAACAGCTGCTCCCAAGGACAGGGGATTCCAGGAATACCCCCAGCCCACCATCCCTTGGGGTTTCCTGGCCTTTGCCAGCACAGTTATTTCCGTGTCTGTGCAGGTGAACTTTATGGCTCTTGAGCGGAGAGCAAAGATTAAAATTCCCACACCCAGTCCAGACTGACACTCCCTCCCTTTATTAATGTGCATAAAGACCTGCTCTGGGTGAATTCATCTGAGAGGAACTCCTGACCAAACTTAAAGTCTTCTTTGGTCCCTCACCCTAAAAACGACCTCCTGTTCATCAGAACATGCAAGAGACTTGGAGGGCATCGTGAAAAGGTCATTTCCAAGTGAGAGTAACCTGAAGTGAGTGCAACCTGCCCTTCTGGAAAGCCACACACTGCCCTGCCCAGGTCAGCTCAGAGCAGGGGCAAACCTGGCCCCTGGAGCTGTTAAACCCAGATCCTGGTTTAAATACTGTGTTTAGACCTTGACCAACAAGCCACAGAATCACCAACACATCAGAAAGGGTCTAAAACCCAAGTCCAGCATTCCTGTCAGTGAGAATAACAGAGGAAATCCATCCTGACTGAGTTAATTCTGGCTAAAAAGTGACCACTTTTACTGACTGCACTTCACAGGCTAAACCAGCTGGTCACCCCCAGAGTCTGCTTTGTTATTTCTCCTGTGCCTGTTTCTTTTTTTTTTTTTTTTTCTTTTGCTTTACAAGTTACCTGAAAACTAAAAGCAACACGAGAAATGCAAACACACAGGCTACCACTTCCAGAAATTCTTCAGCTTCTGCTCACTAGGATATAACTGGAATAACTGACATGTCTTGACAGCTGCTTAGGAACAACTTGTGAGAGGTGAAATAATGCTCATTATCTACAGCTCTCCTCCCAGTCATCACGATTTGTGGAGTGTGCCACTGCTAAATGAGCTATTTACAGATGTAAACTATGTCATGACAGCTGTAAAATAAATAGACAACCTTTACATTAGGTAGTGACTTGACAACAGATCATCCAATTACATCTTTCCAGCAAAATGATCTGTGGATGCTGCCCCCCAATTATTATTTTTTTTTTAAATGAAGAAAATCCTTGGCTCACAATCTATTCTGCAAGAACTTCCTCTGTTTCCTTTCCTCTAGGCTGGATAATTATGTAGAAACTCCTTCAGTTTTGTGGGATAGTCTGTCATCACTCCAGTTGCTCCAAGGTCAAATGCTCTCTTGTACTCTTGCTCTTCATTCAGCACCCAAATGTACACCTGAGATGGGACAGAAAAGCAAATTATTGCAGGAAATACTAAGTTTTTGTTGTTTTGTTTTTGTTTTTTTTTTTTAAAGGTGACTTTTGACCTCTGTTGGTTCACATGAGACAGATGATGCCACATATATTTAAAATGATAAATTATTCCCTTATGCTGCCAAAGACCTGCACACAAACATACCCTTCCAAGAGGGACATTTGTTAGTGGTGACTCCAATTCTGTTTCACTGAGACTTTAGATCTTTCTAAAAATCAAGATATTATTCTGTGAAAACTCCACAACAGGTATATAAACTGATTTTTAGGTTTCAATTTGAAATGGGAAAAAACCAAAACAAAACACCAAACCCCAAACTTAGAGGGATTCAAATTAAAAAGTCTTTTTCCAAGCATAAAACCCTTTCTTTGCAACCACAGAACTGCGAATACAACAGCTCAGGAACTAAAAAGCCATTTATCATCCCAGCAAGACAACAGAACATGCTGGGGAGAACATGAACCCACAATTCATCAGTTCTCACTGGGTTAAAAGCACATTTCTTTAGCCTGGCCCCTCTGTACCTGAATGCCCCGAGCTGTGAGGTGGTCAAACAGTGCTTTCCTCATCAGCAACCTGTGGAAAGGAGAGAGAACTTCAAACACACATCCAATTTTCAACCTCTGTTCACGCTCTGCAAATAATTTTTCCACAGGAAAGTGATCAGAGAGCTCAGTACAGAAAACTTCCTGCTCAAGCAACTCAAGTGGTTAACACTGACACCCACAGCTTGTCTTAGTTGCTTGAGTCAACTGTTAATATAAAGGCAGAATATGAATAAAAATTTCATCAGATGAAAAATCTTACGTGTCAGCCAACCAGATAATGAATTTCTGGCTTCTTGACATCTTCTGTGGTTCCTTCAGCCTGTTGAGGGGAGGAGGAAACGCAACATTATCAGAGCCCAGATTAAAATATTGGCTGAGATGTTCCTGCAGAAGGAACGTGAAGAATCAATCTTGCCTTTGCTCCAAATTAGAGCAGTAATTTCACTGACTAAGGCAGTGACTTGGAATTGGGTCACACGAGAGAAATGAGCTGCACCCAAGAGCAGCAGCGGGGATGGGCCCCCAGCAGCATCCTGAGCCAAGGGTGAGAAAAAGGGCACCTGAAATCTCATGTCCACCCCGGTTTTTTTGCCTCTTGGCTGATTTTTTTTTCTCCAGAAAAGAGGGAGAAAAGTGCAGGAATTAGCTGTATGTACAGAACTGCTGCACACCAGTGTGCAGGTGCCACCAGGGCACTGGCAAAGCCAAGGCTTAGCGTGGCATCAAAGCTTTACACTCCTGTCAGTGCAGCAGCACCCACGGGCTGGGACTCACTTGAGGATGATGGAAGGCATGGGAATTTCAAAGAATTCCTCCTTGAAGGGGATGAAGGGCAGCAGACCGGTGTAGAACAGGCCAAGCAGCAAGAGGACCCGCTGTGCACAGAAGATGGTGGCGATGTCAGAGTTCTGCAGGGACCAGGAAGGAAAGAGTCTCAGTTACCTCGGGCAGATTGCCCAGGCTGCTGCAAATAAATTAACTCATCAATGCATGTTTAAAATTCAGCTGCCAAGTCTTTATATGTGAAACCCTCCATATATTCCTGCCCCCAAACTTGAATTTCTCTTTCTGGGAAGGTGCATTGGAGCAATACCTTTGTTGTCAGCTAGATCAGCTCCACTCAGGGTCATAACTCCCCTGGAATAAGCACAGTTTTAAACTCCTCAGCATAAAAAGGATTAGAGTTACATCTGTACTACAGCCTCGCACTGATGCAACTCTGTCAACTAGGGGTCACATTCATTATCTTCATGAAAAGAAACAGACAATAAGTAATACTTAGAAAAATTGCTTTTTAATCAGATGAATGATGTGCAAAACAGGCTCTAAGGATACCTGGCATACACCTGTAATGCCCTACGTTACATAAAACAAGAACAAAACATGATTAAGGTTAATTCCTCAAGTATTTTATGGCAGAGTACAGGGCTGTTAACTGTGCCTGACTTATTTTAGCAGCACAGTGAAGCAGAACACAACCCAAGCACAGAATCTCTCCCCACAAGTAAAGTCTGGCCTAGCTAAACCTTGATTTACAGGGGATATTTTTAGGTGACCACACAATAAGAGGCAGGTAAAGACCAAAGCTCAGCTGGACGCATTCCTACCTCCTTGAAACACTTGGATACAATCTCATAATTGACATTCCCCCACACCGTCAGATGCTCCCTCTTGTACTGAGTCACCAGGTCCGAAACCTGCAGCATAAAAAGCACAACTCTCACACTGAAAATGTGGATTCATTGAAAATTATGTGCCTAGATGCAAATCATTGTTATGTAATTTATAAAAACCCCAAATTCGTATCTCTACACATATAAAAATCCCAACCCATATCCCTGTATTTATAAATACCTATATTTATGAAAATATAAATTTGTATCTAGCTCAGCACAGGGTTTTCCTGTACCTTTTTGATCAGCACATTGTTGTTCATTTTGATGTCAATGTTGACAGGAGTTGTTGGGAAGGCCTCAAACACCTCTTCCAGGAGGGGGATCCGGTTGTCCTTCCCCTCACACTGGCACTCTGGGGAGACAACAAAAGTTGTTGTCACTGCTGTGGCCACTTTGAATAAAAAACTTTTAAAAATAGAGAGTCCCTGGGATTATCACATTTTTAAACAACAACAACAAAAACGTTACTTCATTAAACTGCAATTAATCATGACAAGCTTTTTTCCATAACGAAAAGTGCCCTGAGCACGTTGCACATTTAGGTTTTAACTTCAGGAAATTCAGATATTATTTAGCAACAGTAGGAGTGCAGGCAATGCCAAAGCCCTGAAATAGCAAACACAGGCTCAGCTACCACACACCAAATGCAACGAGATTAATATGAAAAAAACTCACTAAATGAGAACAAAATTTCCTTCTGAGCTTGAAGTCTTACCTGCAGTAAGCACTGTGCTGGTTGCTACAGCCAGGATTGTATTGTGGTTTTAAAACTTACCAAGATGCTGAGAGAAGCAAAATCACCTTTATACCATCTATATAAAATGGAAAATTTTCAGTTGAACCAGCAAGAGATGAACTCACCTTTCTGAAACGTGACATCCAACTTGCAGAGATACCGTGGGAGTTCCTTAAAAATAAAGGGAAGAGGGACAGGAATTCAAATCACCCTCTGGAATGTGGCAGGTTGGATCCTCTGACTGCTCAGGGAGCTCAGTGAACTTTGGGTTGGTTTTGGTAAGACAGGATGAGCCCTGTCCTTTGGTTCTGGGTACCACACCCCCCCACCCCAGCCTCTCTCCAGACACATTTTGAAGCATCTCCCAGCACGTTTTCTCCTCAGCTCACCGAGTATTTGAGGTCAGAGATGTTGACATCCACGCCCGTGGATCTCTTCAGGTTCTCATCGTGGGACACGACCACCTGCTCGTCCTTGGTGAGGTGACAGTCCAGCTCCAGCATGTCTGTCCCCAAATTGACAGCACTGCAAGGGAACACAGCTGTGCTCTGGCCACATCCAACACGTCATTCCATCGGCCAGCCCCACTGGAAGCACCTGAGATGCTGCATGGATAATCACAGTCCTGCTGCAGTGGGAAGCTGAGGCAGGAGTGAATAAAGCATCAAAGATGGGACTGGAGCACGGGAATTTCGGCTCCATCTTCCACAGGAGTCGGGCAGACACATCTCAGGATTGAGGAACCTGCTCCTCAAAAGGGTTCTTTCAGAAGCTGGAGTGTGATGTTGATTAGTGGCAGCACATTCCTCCTCACTGGAGGAAGTGTGATGTTTTTTAAGGAAGTAATCGAATTTGTGGGAACAGAAATAACAAATGACAGGGATGTGAAAGCCTCTTTTTTTATATATATAACTTGATTTCCATCTATTCCTGATGAATGTATCAGGAAATTAGCAGCAGGACTTTCAGGCTTTTGGCTTTTTTTTGGGTAGCAAAACAGCCTTAAAAAATAATAATTTTAAAGAGAAAGTTTTAATTTAAATTTAAAAAGAAATGAACCACTAAAACATCCAGTCATATTTTTCAAATGAAAAATAGCTATTCCTGTTCCAAGCCACTGCTTTGAAAAGTTCTAATCCAAACCCAAATCTACTCCATAGCAGCTTGGGTCACAGGAGGAGTAAAGAAAGCAGGGAAGTGGCAATAATGCTGATGAAAAATAAGCACAAGAAAACTCACAGCAGAAAAAAAAACCCCCTAAGCTTTACTGCACATTTAATTGCTCATTTAATTAGAAAAGGTACTCAGGAGGAGTCATTGCAGCAGACAGATAAAAGCCTGAACACTTCCTTCCAAACCCTGGGCTGCTCTTTTCATCCAGCCATGAGCAAACCTGCAGCACCTCTGAGCTGTGCCCACGTGGGCACCTTCCTGATGGGATTTATTGTCTCACAGGCCTTAAACATTCACAAATGCAATAAAAAAATATAAACAAAATCAGAACATACCCCCTCAAGTGTTTAACACAATTTCTGGTCCAGCTGGGATAATGATCAAGAGGAGGGTTGTCAAATTAAAACCAATTTGTGAATTGTTTTCCAGGGCTGCTAATTAAGAATTAGGAGAGGAACAAAATCCTGTTGCAGACGGAAGAATCACAGGCTGTTCTGGGTGGTTGTTTGGTTTTTTTCCTCCTGAGGAAAAGCATCTCCAAATCTGCAGCAGGAGATCTGCCAAACTGGGAGAAGATGTGCCCATCTACTACCACATATTATCATTTAACCAGCAAAATTTATTAGCAATATTAGGGCTTGAGAAAGGCAGGGCTGGTGCTGCAGGGAAAGGGGAGAACAACAACTTTCCTTGTTAACAACTCTGGGGATTTGCCAGGCCCTCACTGCTAAATCAGCTTCCTGAAGTGCTGAGTTTTTCCAGCTGGGAATCAGGTTGTTCTGCAGCTCTGGAATAACATGTCAAACCCATGGAGAAGGCTCCACATGTGGAGTCACATCCAGCTGCTCCAGAACTCCACTTGTGAAGGAGGCTCCCATTTGCAAATTAAGATGGGAGTGCTCTTGCTTGAAATCAGTTATTTAAAAATCTAAACCCACCACAGACTCATTTAAATGCAGTATAATATTATTACCCCCCGAAAAAACCCCCCCACAACCCATCAGCCATTTTAATCATGCAAACCCAAAAATAAACTGTCTCTGGTACAAAAAGGTTTTCATTTCCAGAATATTTGTAAGTTAAGCTAATATAGAAATGTCAATAAGGCCTCCTCTCCCCTATATACTTTGTTTCTATACTACTAAAATAATCTCTTCATTATCATGGAATAGTATTAGATAAACTCCAATCACTGATAAAGTGTGAATAGCACAAATAAAGCTCTTGTCAATACTTAGAGGACTGTCATTGAGGCAAACCCAAGGGCTGCAGACACACATTCTCTTCTGGCTTCAGCTACAGCAACAGCCAAATATTGCTGCTTGTCCAAACCTGCAGGAGCAGCTCCTGCAGACACACCCTGTTTGTATTCCCATCAAATCTGATGGATTATAAATCCATCAGTTCCCACCAGCCCTCTGAGCCAATCCTGATCATTTTCCACCATCCAGGTGATTTTGTACCCCATTCCCTTTAGTGGTGGAGAGGGGAATGAGCAGATGGCAAGGACAGAGGTTTTGCCCCTTCCCAGAGGGAGCCAGAACTTCTCCTGCCTAACACAAGGGAATTGCTCTGACTGCTCTTCTGGCTCTGTCACTCAACTGAACCTTCCACTGGCACCTGTGCTGAGTTCAGAAACTGGACCTCAAAGCATTTGCTACAGCACAGCTGTGAAATAATTAAAGTGGTCAGAAGAGAGTCAGGTAAATGCCTGTATTATCACAAAATACATGACTCCTAGCACAGTCCTTGCTCCAGGCACTACAGCTTATTCCTGGGAATGAAACAAAAATAATTAAAGTGGAACTTCCCTTGCAGGAGCCCTTCATGTATAGAACCAGCATGATATTAAATAAAAATTAAGAAATGGTTAAAAAAAAAGCAGCAGCACTTCCCAGAAAGTCTGGTAGCAGACTCGAAGAGAGGCAGGCCAGCAGGAAAAAAAAAGAAAACCACACAAAACTGTGCTGGGCTTCCATGGAGATAGAAAATAGTGCAGCACTTTCTCTTCTTTGCTTGGGAAAGCTGGCACTCCTCAGGCTGCAGGGGAACAGCAAACTGATGAGGCCACTTTGCACAAAGCAAATTACAAACCCCCCAAGAAAACAAAGAGAAGCCCTCATAATTCTGCCCCTTCTCCTCAGCAGGTGGAGTTTGAGATACGCTCCTTTCTCCAATGCCTTTGAGAACCTTATTAGAATTCACTACTTAAATGCTGGAGGCTTAAAAAGGCTTTCTGGTCCACACCCCATTTTAAAGCCCTGGGTAAGAGGCTTTCACACGTTGCGTGACTGAAGTGTATGCAGGGAAAAAACCCACATTTTTAGCTTTATAATGATAACTAAACTACCAGGAGTAATCACCACTGAACACAGAAGCAGCATTGTTTCCTGTTTTATGAGCTAGCACAGGATATCAGGCCCCAGGGGTTCTATTTCCATTTGTTCCCGTGTACAGATCCTAATTTGTGGTATCCCAACTCCTTCTGGTTTCAGTGGATGTTTGGCAACCCCAGAAGTCATCCAAAGGAGAGATGACTTTCAGAAATAGGACACCACACCCCAAAGAACTGATGCAAGTCCCACCTTCCTGGATTGCTTCACTCACTAAAGACACTGAGGAACACCCAATTTAGGCATTACTGGTTCCTTTTGTACTCACTGGTGAAAGGCTGCCATGGTGTTTTCCAGGTTCTCTCCAGCACCTACAGAAATAACAGAAATAAAACATGTATAAAATCCTTTTCCTCCCCTCAATCCCACTGAAAAGAATTTTTAAAAATAACAGATTTTAAACATGTATATTTTTAAGGCAATGTTTGGAGGAATGAGTATGAAGCTCGAGTCAGAGATCCCCGTTGCCACCAACCTACTGGAGAGACAGGACCTTCTGGAGGTAAAACAATTAAAAATCATTAAAAAATATCTTGGATTTGTGTAAAACTTTGAATATAAAAACCAAAGTGTTTATTTTACCAGAGGGTCTTTCTCAAAGCCAGTGGATTTGGCAGGGACAATGTGCTCCACAGTACATGCAAAAAGTCTATTTTAGAGTCGGTGGGAAGGGGAACAAGAGGAAAAAAATATTATAAAAAAGCACCCAAGCCACTCTAAAGCTGATATTCCCTCAGTGTATAACCCAGCTGGTGCTCAAAGAGGTGACAGCCTCTTTTTTTTCAGTGCAAGGATATTGCCCAAACAAGCACAAATGTGTCAATAAAGGTTTCTGCTGCTGGCAAAGGGAGATCTCCCACAGGAGGAATGAAACACATCAACTGCACTTAATAAATGAAAGGACAGACAAATTAAGTTTTCTCTCTTGGGCAGGAGAAAACTCTGCAACTCCTAAGCCATCACTCTCTGCCTAAAAATCCTTATAAACCAGCCTGATTAGGGACTGGAAAAAGTTGTGCCTTCTCCTCTCCTCCGAAAATTGGCAGTATTATAGACTGAGAAACAAAACAACCCCAGGAGGATGCAAGTGCTGATGAGGATATCTATGCAAATTTTAACTGCTCTTTGACAGTAATGAATGCCAGACTTTGTAAACAGCAATTATAAAAGCTCCAATTAAGGCCTTGCCTATTAACAAGACCTCACCAGGACGTACTTACCCAAGTCTGTGCTCAGTTACTCAATGAGAGCAAGGCACAACCAGCAATTTAAAATTGTTGTTCTCAGGTGAGCTCCCATTGGGAGGTTTACAAAATGAAAGATTTAACCCAGAGCATGAAGGCAAAATCTGCAGGGTTCAACATAAACAACAGCTTCTGGGGGTAGACATTCACCAGTGTTTTGAGGGATTTGATGGCAGGACTAGGAATTGTTCTGGGATGGAGGAGAACACAAAAACCTCATGGTGTCCATGTGCTGATTGCCCAACAGATGGGAAACCCCTGCACAGGCCCTGGATGCTTAGTTATCAATTAACTGCAATAATAATAAAGGGGTTTAGATAACTTATCAACTGTGGTAATACAGCCACTACATCCTGAATGATAAGAGAGGGAGGGAAAAAACCAAGTCAGTCTTCAGTTTGTGAAGAAAAGAATCATATCTTCACATTTGTGGGCAGAAGTTTTCCAGAAATAAAACCTTAAGTGACTGATGTAACAAGCCCCATGTGAGGAAGGTGGGTCTGGTGACTCAAAGGCCTGACTTGGGGCACTGAGGGGAAACGAGGAACAAAGTTGAGAGATCAGCTGGGACAGGAACTCTAGATCAGCAAAGTGGCTTTCACAGACCACGCTCAGAAGAGGGAACTCCACAAGCCAAGGATTTGATGGACTAAATCACTTTCTATCCTGGGCTGACCAAAGGGCTTGTGACACTGTCTCAACTGCACCTCCAGATCCACGTGCTGTCACATTCCCAGTGAGGAACTGACCTTCCCCAGCGTGAGCCAGAGCGGGAACATCCACTGGCACATTCCCACTCTGAGAGCACCACCACGGCCAGCAGGGAGTCAACACCCTGCACTGGCTCAAGGAGAGGACCCTCAGAGGTTTTTGGGGGTTTTCCCCCAAAATGTAAGCACAGGAGCCAGCAGCTCAAGGGAAGTGCTTGTTCCCCTCTGCTCTGCCCACACCTGGAGGGATGAGTCCAGCTCTGGGCTCTGAAGTGCAAGGCAAACATGGATCTGCTGGAAAAAGTCCAGAGAAGGGCTGTGAGAATCAAGGGATGAGAGATTCTTGTGTACAGTGAGAGGCTGAGGGGAGTGGAATTGTTTTGCTCTGTTTGGAAAACAGAGGCCAGGGAGGATCCTACGGTGTGTAAATACCGGATGGGAGGGAGTAAAGAGGACTGAGCCAAACTCCTCGTGGTGGTGCCCAGGGAAAGGACAAGAGGAATGGGAACAACTTAAAATACAGGAATTTCAGTTTATAAACATAAGAAACCCCCTCCTTCTTATTACAAGGGTGATCAAACTCTGGAAGAGGATGCCCAGAGAGGTTGTGGAGCCTCCATCCCTGGATGTACTCAAATCCTAACTGGACCAGGTCCTGGTCCACCTGCTCTGGTCAGACAAGATGATCTCCAGAGGTCCCTCCCAACCTCAACCATTCTGTATAAAAATCATAATCCTACCCTGTCCCAAAGACCCTTCAACCCAGGGCTGCTGGCACTGACAGAGGATTCTAACACAGAATATCAAGATTTAATTATTGTTCTCAGAAACGACCAATTTTTAAATGATGCAGAAGAAATAACTGAGGGACGATTCCACTGATGAGCTGTGAAATAAGAAAATACCTGCACAAAGGAGCGAGTGAAATCAAACCCCTCAGACTTCAAAAGCTTCACGTGCAAGGTTTCATCTCGGAGAGGAGAAAGCCAAAGAAGTTAAGTGTTATCTTGATCTCCCAAGTTAATTGGAGTAATGCAGTGGGAAACCTGACACTGCTTCTAAAGCTACAGCATGACCAGAGCCCGATGAGAACTTGAGTCCCACAGGAATTTATGTGACAGGGTAAACACTCCAGAGAGTAAAGAGCAGGTGATCTTCAGCCTGAGCAAAGAGCTGCTGAGACATTCAGGGCTGTGCTCCTGCCTCGGCTGGATTTCAGGGGATACACATGGACACAGAACAGTCCACACACCGTGGACTTTGCCTCTGAGTGCCTAAGGAATAATCCTCTCCTAAGTAAGGCTTTCCTGTTGTTCTAATGGAGCTTAGAGCAACTGGCCCAAACAGTTGCACTGGAGGCTTAGGGCTGTGTATCTTAACTAAGGGCCTTGCAAGGAAGCGAGAAGAGGGGATTAAGGAGATCATTCCAAGTCCCAACAAAGTCGCCTGCAAGTTTTAAACCGCTTGCAAATCACACAATTACCAACAGGTAACTTGAAATTAAGAACTGTGTTCCTTGAAGGAGAACACATACCTACCAAGACACAAATAACATATGTATTCCACGCCACAAGGTGCATTTTGTGCTGTATTTAAAGACTATCAAGAAGCTTAAACTGTTGTATAAACAAAAGGAAAGAAATGCAAGTAATAAAAGCTATAAAGATCAACTCTAGTTTTTGTATTTTAATGATTCCAGGCAGAGCAGCAGTTAAAGACCATTGCCTAGAACTGTGATCAACCCCTGCATAAACTGGCTCTGGATATGATACTGAAAACTGTTTAAACTCAGCCTATCTCCCACAGAATACACAAAAATATTTACTAGAAAACTGACTATTTCCACAGAGAAAAGCGCAGAACTGATCTTCACACAACACGAAAACACAAGTTGCCGTATTTTTTTTGTTCCTCACAGTGCTTTGGAAAAGGTGGAAGGAACTTTGAAAACCTGACTTAGCTATTTTAGGCAGAGGCAGCGAGCCAACAACCCTCAAGGCCTTGGCACAAGGAGGGGGGACAAGACTCTCAAACCGGATGGGTTTTACCAGGGCACTGAAACAGTCACTGCCTGCAGCACCAAGGGGGGCAAGAACAGAGCCACAGCAAATTGTGTTTGCCCTGAAAAAGCAGAGAGCAAAGCGAACGGGAGGTCAGAGGAAAGAAAATCGATCTTTTGCACCTCATCTAAGGCACAGCCAGAGGTGTCTCTCGTTAGGGAGAGAAACGGCAGAATACAGACCAGTTAGAAGCAAAAATACACACGACAGAGAGGGGAACAAAGCGACACAAAGCTGATTTTCGGCCGGCGCCGTTCGCCTTCGGAGATTAATTGGGCGCTGAGACGAGGCGCTGGTCAGCAGGTGGCACCTAAAATTAGGCTGCGGGAGGAAGGCTCCACGGGAGCCCCGCGGGCACAGGGGCCGGGGAGGGAGACCGCAGCATCCCCGGAGCGTGGGGAGCATCTCCGGGGGGCCGCGGATCCCTGAGGAGCGCCGCGGGGCGGGAAGGGCTCCCTCCCCTCACCCTCCATCCCCCCTCACTCACCGCCGCGGTGCGAGATGTGCCGGCATCGAAAGCGCTGCCGCTTGGGCCGGTGGAGCAGCCCCGGGCACTTGAGGAGGAGCGCGGAGGTGAGGACGTATCCGCCCAGCGTGGAGAGCACGTAGAGCGTGGCCGACATCCTGCGGCTGCGGTCGGTGGCCCCGGTCGGTGTCCGTGTCCCGCACCGCGGACCGCGCCCGGCGCCGCTGCGGGACCCGCAGGCTCTGAGGGCGCGGGAGCCGCTGAGGGAGCTCAGGCTCTGCGCTCGCGCAGCGGGCGGAGCGGAGGGCGCAGGCGCGGCGCGCGCCGGGCCGTGAGGCGGGAGCGCTCTCCCCTCAGCCGCACCGGTCAAAAACCGCTTCGCCGGGGCCGCGGGCAATTCTCGTTTAAAATTAGATTAACGCGCTTTAATCGTCCCCGTCTCGCCGTCCCCGGCGGTGCCCTCCTTCCTGGGCAAGGTGGAGGGATGTGGGGTTTTTTTTTTCCACGCCCAGCGCCCGCCTGGCGGCCGGGATTGGCGCTGTCACAAAAAAACCCCACTTGCCAAATGGTGTGGGCAGCTCTCAATTAGACGCTTTAATTTCCCACCTCGCTGCCGCTGCTCCCTCCTGGCAGGCGGAGGGAGGGTTGTGTTTTCCCCACCCAGCCCCTCAGAGATGTCATATTCCAGACAGGAGGGGTGCGTTTTATACCCGCCCAGCTCCTCAGAAATCACAGAATCATCAAATGGTTTGGATTGGAAGGAGCCTTCACAGCTCATCCAGCCCAACCCCTAATGTCATATTATGAACAGGAGGGATGGGTTTTCCCCACCCAGCCCCTCAGAGCTGTCATATTCAGAAGGGGAGAGATGCAATTCCCACACCCAGCCCCTCAGAGATCATGGAATCAGAGTGGTTGGGTAGGAAGGGATCTCTAAACATCATCTACTTCAAGCCTTAACAGGAGGGATGCATTTCCCACACCCAGCCCCTCAGAGGTGTCATATTCCAAAAGAAGGGATGCATTTCCACACTCAGCTCCTCAGAGATTTCATATTCCAAATCGAAGGGATGCATTTCCCACACCCAGCCCCTCAGAGATGTCACATTCCTAGTGGGAGGGATGCATTTTCCACACCCAGCCCCTCAGAGATGTCGTATTCCGAGCAGAAACCAGGTCTCGAATCTGGTCATGCAGTGTAATTATTGTACTGTGGCAAACTGGCAAATTAAATTTTGTGCACATGCTAATTGGAAACAAATATTCTAGAAATTAAATTAGGTCTCAGCATACAGGCGGCTGTCGCTAGTACATCTTACCTTGGCAAAAGTTAAAAGTTGATTTGCTGTGGTTAATTTTTTTGGCACCGACAGCCACGGTGATGTTCACAGGATTTAAGTTACCCTTCAGAACATCATATAGTGTTGCATAATTACTCCCTCAATCTGAGGTTCAAACTGGACCTTTTAACAACCAAAAGTCTGTTTAATCACTACAAGTCAGGCTATACAGACCATTAAGCTGCCGTTTTTTACAGAGGACCAGCTTATTTACCTCTGCATTTTCCACAAACTTACAAGCAGGTTCAGTTTCCAAAGAGATCTGTTAATCCAAAATATGAAATTAAGCTGGCCTTTTAACAAAATCTAGCTGATGAATACAAATAGTGTAAGATATTTCAACTTGATATAGGTAAGCAGTTTCTGGCTGTTAATACACATCAGAACTGCAGTACCTTTTTTTAAAGACAAATTATTTCTCCCATTATCACATTAAAAGTATCTATTGCCTACATACAAATATCTTGTTTAGAGGAAGTGAAAAATTCTGCTCCTCATTGCCTCAATATGACACAGGAAACTCCTGATTTCAGGCAATGCTAATTTTTAAACATCCCTAAGTATTTACGTACAAAGACGGGATGGGGGAAAGCACTATTACCAAAAATCTAGTAATACAGGATCAGCACTTTATCAAAACCAGCATTTATTTTTTACATATGGCAACTTAATAAATGGAAAATGTACATGTCTCAGATTCCCTTTTCTGCTTTGATATCAGACTTTATTTTCAGTCTGTGTTCCAGTGAGGGACAGTGGGGCTTCACACGATCGCAGTGACACGAACCAAAATCCAGGGACTGGATCGAAGACGGTCTTTTTAAACTAAAACAAACCTGCCAGGACAACTCTTACTGCGTAACTGCTTTCAGGATTCCCCGGAGAACTTTGTAGCTCATTAACTGTTGGCTTTCTTTGGGAGGAAAGCAGGGTCCACGTTCTGTCACGTAAGCGTAAGGAAACCTGAGCACCCACAGTCCATCCGAGGGAAGGGTTATTTCCTGCTTCTCAGGGTAAAATATTGGGCAGGGTGGTGGTCCTGGTTGAACCTAAAATCAAAAGGAAACGTGAGTAGATAACCAAACATCATTGCTACCTTAAAATGAAAAAAAAAAAAAAAGTGCAAATGGAGCTTTTCCTCCATTTTTTAAAATGCATATTTGAAAATGGTGACAAAATCTCCAGTTAAAAAAAAAACCCAACACTTTCTCACCTCCCAAATTCAAACTGTCACTAATAATAATTAATCTCAGCCATGAGTCATTGCTTTTTCTCCATGACATTTAAAAGGACAAATTCATTCTTACACAGTCATTACTCACTTGTTATCTTCCTTTTTTTAAAAAAAAGCCATTATTATAGCAGGGAATGCCAACAAATCATCCCTGATAGATTTTTTTTAAACTTCATGTAAAATATAAAGCTGGCAAAGCCAACCTTGAAGTTTAAAAACTTAAGTTTAAAACAGATAATTTTGGTGGCTACTGCCTGAAAGAACTTGGCTGAAGCAGGTTTGAGTTGGGGAGAGTTTCTTGACACTGTTTTCCTGTCACCCTCACGCCTGCCAGTCCTGCATCAACGATGCCACAGCCACCCCTGCCTCTGCTGTTCCCACATTCCCTCTTCCATCCGTACCTGAGGCGTTAACGTGATCTGCAGCGGAGCATCGGGAACCACCACAAAGAGCCTCATGAACTGGGCGTAGTGTGGTTTGAGGCCTCGGCCCTGGGTGGAGGACAGGATGTAGAGCGGCATGTCGGAGTTGAGGGCCTTGATGGCAGATTCCTTCGGCCCCCTCCCATCACCTTCATGACTTTGTCGGGCCCCGAGCACATGAACCTCCTCCCACGGGCGTCTTCGTACTCAAAGCCCACGAACGCCCGGGCGATGTCATCTCTCCGCCTCCCTCTTCCCATCACAACCGCGCTCCTTTTTCCAGGAACAGCCTTGTTGGGTGCAGGCCAGGAATTGGTATCCAAGTCCCCTTCGTCTTCGGTTCTCGTCCTGATGACGATGTCCCAAGGCATTAAGTAGTTTGTTCCCGGGATAAAGCCTTGTTGATCTAAGCCCGTGTGGAAGTTGTAAGCCTTAGCAGGCCCCAGCTTAACCAGGGACCAGCTGGAGAACTTGGGCAGGAGGCCTTTGGGGCAATTGGAATGGAGCATCCCGGGGAGGTACTCGACAGTGGACGCCTGGCGATCCACCAGGCTCGGCCTCTTCTCGCTTTTGGAGTCCCCGCTCTGGCCGTGACTCTCTGCATTGTCCCCTCCACCCTGGGCATCGGGGGCGTAGGTGCCCAGGCTGCCCGTGGACTGGCCCAGGCTGAGGGCTAAGCTCAGGCCTGTGCTCTCGCCCTGAGTCTGAGGTTCTTTCTCTTTAAGTTTCTCCATCTCACCCTCTGGAGGGGCAGGCGAGGACTCATCCCGAGCAGGCGCCGGATCAGGCGTGCTCGGCTGGAAGATGGGAAAGTTGATGTGCTCCAGTTTCCCACAGCACTTTTCTTCCAGTAGCTACGAGAAAGAAAATGCGGTTAAACCATATCCCTTCCAGCCCTGAGATCAGGGAGTTCAAAGCCACAACATTCAGCAGCTACAAATAAGATTCAAGAGGACTGGGCTGTGTGAGAACCAAAACAGTGATGGGAACGTGGCCCACAGACCTTGTTATTCAAAATTCACATGAACCAACACACTCAAGGTGTAAACAGGTGTGTTTACAGGTGCTCCTGTGTGTGTGCACTGGTGAGGACTAGAACTGCCCACTCTGCTCAGACAATTTCTGCTCCCAGAAACATCTTCCCCAAGCAACAAGGTGATAAGGTTAAGAGGAAATTTGTGGTCTCTCCAGAACACAGGCTCTGCTGATGAAACAAAAAGCAATGACAGACCTAACAGTTACCTGGTAAAAGTCATAATTAGCTGCTTTGATATCAAAGGGGTCCTCCCGAGGCGCTTGTTTCCTTCCACAGTTACAGGCCCCAGTGGAACGAGCCCGGCTGTTGTGGTACAGGATGGGAGGATTTCTGTCTGCTTCTGGCTTTTCCCCTAAAGGCAAAAATCAATCAAACCCTGGGGAAACTGCTCACCATTTCTAGAGATTAATTCCCTTCACCCTCTGCTTCCTCCTTGCTAATACACACACACACAAGAAACGATTTGCCAGCAGTTTGCCAAGCAATTCCTCCCTTTCCCACTTTGAACACCAAGTTCCAGTGGAGGTTATACCACTAAACTGAATCTTGTTTTTACAACCTCTTCCTAAAAGGCTCAAAGTTCTTTTGCCTGCAGTTTGACATGCATCAGACAGTTTGACTCCTTGATTGTCACCAATCAAGTTATTTAAAACAAAGGGGGGCACCTATTGCTTCCTAGAGAACATTTGTTCTCTTACCTCTTACAAGAAGGGTTTCAGTGTGATGCTTCTAATTAGCAAGATAGAATCAGAGTGACCACTAAAATTAGTTACTAAAATCAGAGTGACCACCAAATTAGAGTTGCTAAAATTAGAGTTACTACTAAAATCAAAGTTACCGCTGACAGTGGACTGTATGGCTCCCAAACATCATTAATAACATCATTAATTGCCTAATGTTTGGCTCCCAAGCATTACTCAACATAAGGGAAACCTGCACAACAGCTCTGCTAAAATCCCACCGTACAAAGACGATCACGGAATCATTTAGGCTGGAAAGGACCTCTGAGATCACTGAGTCCAACCTTTGCCTGATCACCTCCTTGCACCTAGACCAGAGCACTAAGTGCCACATGCAAGCCTCAAATTTCAATCTTCCTTAACATGCCTTTTTAAAGGCAGATACAAAACTACCCCACGAAACCCAACCACCAGTGAGCACCTCTACCTGCTTTCGGGAGCAGGTGGAACTTGTGCACGCAGTGCTGGTCAGTCAGGCTCCTCTCCTCGCAGAGCTGGTGCCCGTTGCTCCAGAACTTGTAGCAGTCCTCGTTGAGCTGCATGGCGTACTTGTGGAAGGCCGGGCCCCGGGCGTGCTGGCTGTAGACCCGCAGGGCCTGGGCCAGCTGGTTCTTGTGCACCGTCATGGTGTAATTGTGGGGCAGGTTGGACTGGTAGGCGCTGTGGGCCATGGGCAGAGCCTTCTGGCAACGGTTTTCAGAGAACTTGGTGTCTATGTCTAAGTAGCCTTCCAAGACTTTGATGCTGCTCATGATCTTGGAGCTCAGCTCCCCAGAGGTCGGGTCGTCGTCCTTGCCTTCGATGGTCACCTCGTACAGTTTCAGAGCTGCAGCCACCCACTTCTGGTAGGTCGGGAGCTCGAAGTGGGAGGGCTGCGGGTTCCTCCCCACGCTGTCATCGAAGCCCTTCTTGCTGAGCACCAGCTCCACGTGCTGCCACAAGAACTCCTTGAGGGTGCAGTCCACGAGCTGCCCCGAGGAGCTGGAGCTGCTGCTCTCTGCGTGGAAGGAGAGCTGCTGCCGCCCGTGCCGCATCATCTGGTACCTCCTGGGCCCCGACAGCGTGGGAGCCAGCAGCGAGTCGGGCTCCCTCATGGTGCAGTTGCTCCTGAGCTGGTCGAGAAGCATGGCCACCGGGTCATCTCCATCCTGGGGCCCCCAGCCACGATGTACACGAAGGCCTGGTTGGCGGGCACGGTGAACAGGCAGTTGATGCTCTGGTTGGTGAGCACCCTGCTCTTGCGGAAGATGCGGTAGATCTGATCCTCCAGAGCGTGCTGCAGCCTCCTCTTGGGGGAGTGCTTCTTGGGAGGTGGCTTTTCCAGGTGACCGCAGGGGTCCTGGCCCCTGCTGGGGAGGGGATCCACCTTCAGAGCCCCGTTGAGCTGGAAGAGGAAGAGGAGGCGCGGAGGGCACGGCCTGCAGTTGAGCTTCCACTCCTTGCCCACCGGGCAGTCCTTGATGGCAGCCTTGAGCGAGGGCAGCACCTTCTGCCGCAGCCCGTCCAGCGCCCGGAACACGCGGTCGTAGGTGATGTCGAAGGAGCAGGTGGGATGCACCAGCAGCAGGATGTGGCACACGGAGAACAGGTAGAGGAGGCTCAGGCAGTGCAGCTTCTCCTGGTGCTTCCAGAACTCGTGGGCCTCGGCGTGGGGCAGCGGGGCCGGGCCTCCCGAGGGGTGTCCGGGCCCGGGCTCCCTGTTCTCGGCCGCGGTGAGGTCCCCGCAGGCGCGGAGCAGCTGCGGCGTGTCGCAGATGGAGGTGAGCACCAGGTACAGCACGCGGCTCTCCTGGCTGTAGTACGCCTGCAGCTGGTTGTAGTCCTTGCTCGCCGGGTCGCACTCGGACCCCGCCGCGCCGTCCGTCGGGCTCGGGATCCTCCTCGGGGAACAGCGGGAAGACCTGCCGGTCGCACACGGTGCTCACCAGGGCCTCCTTCTCGGAGCAGAGCTGCAGCGCCGTCTTGCCGAAGATGCCCACCACGCACACCTCCTCCTCGCCGCCCGCCGCGCCGCCCGCCTCGGCCGCCAGCAGCAGGTCCCGCAGGCTCATGGGCCCCACGGCCGAGCCCATGGCCCCGGGGGCACCGGCCGGCAGCGGCATCCCCGGATCCCGTCCCGATCCCGCTCCTGGTACCGCCCGGAAGCGGCGGAACCCCCGCCCCGCTCCCGACCCCGCGCATGGGCGGCCCCGCCCCGGGGAGGGAAGGGCCGGGAGCGGGGAGGAGGCACCGGGAGAGGGTGACACGGGGAGTGTGACAGCGCGCTGTCCACCCGGGACAGCTCTGGGCCCCGGCGAGCGCTGCCCCGCACTGGGATGTCAGTTCTGTGCCCCCGGGACTCACCTTCCATCGCCATCCCACGTCCTGAGCGGGTCACGGCACAGTCACATCTCCCCACCCCTGCAGCCCTCAATCTTGACTTTGAAGGAGCCTTTGAGTTACTTTGCCTTTAATCAGTTCAGCCTTTACCAGTGGTCTGACCCCAGCCAGAATCATTACACAGTAAATTGCCTCGTATATTTGTGGCCACAGAACCAAGCTGGTTGTTGAGTCCTGCAGCTTTTCCATTTAATAATATTAGTGCATTAAACTGTTGTTTTTCTTTAAAACTGTCCAGTTACCGTGAAGTTGTTTTTTGGTTAAAAATATATATATATGCATATAAAAGGTGTATAAACAATACTGAATTTCAGCAAACACGTACATATCTGTATGACAAGCAGCACCAGTGTTGGGAGCATAATAGTCCCTGCTTCAGCAGCAGCCAGTGGTCAAAGGACTTGGGAAAGGTCATGCTTTTTTATCATGAAGAATGAAGAATCCAACAAGATTGAGACATTATAGAAATATAAAAAGTAAAATCTGCTTAACAGGGTTTCAGAATATCCTGTTCTCTTGTGCCCTTACAAATACGTGTGCCCGAGTGTGATAAAAATGGGATTCAGATGGGGTTTCCCGACAACAGACGAGAAATACATTGTTCCATAAACATACTTTCCTTTTTACTTCTCATCAAAGCTGTTGGCAGCACTTAACCGGGCAGGGGAGGGACTCTTCGGATGAGCCATCTGTCAAAACAAGGGAAGGGTCAGAACGTGGAGATCTGAACTGATTGTGACTGAGATAAAGCAGCGCGATTCTTAAGACAGCCACAGCAAGCGATGAAAATAAAAGACATTATTAACCCTCAGATTTTGTTCCTCTGCAAAGCAGGGAAAAATCAGTAGGAAATTTGATGGATTTTAGAGCCAATTTATTGTTCCAAAAGAGAGAGGGTGACTTGCCTGGAATTTGCGTCGCAGTGCCTGGGTCATTATTGGTGTCAACCCAGAGCCACATTCAATGTTTTCTTTATTATTCAGAGGAGTGCCACCAGGGCTTCTGAAAAGATTGGACACAAGAGGAATTATTATTAGTTTTCTGTTTTTTTCCTAGATTTAAAAAAAAAAAAGAATTCAGAGAACAGGAAGGAACTTACCTTTGGATATTGACTTTCTTCAGGTGTTTCCGAAGGTCAATCTGATTTTTAGGGGGAGTACTGATAGAAAGAAACAAAGAAAATATTTTCCACTCTGTAAACCATGATAATCACTGATTAAAACAGAATAATATCCAAGAAGGGAAGAAAGGATCTTACATTAAGGAATTTGTGACGTGAGCTGATGGCTTGGATTTAGGTCTCAAACTAATACTCTGTAGATCTGAGACTGTAATTAATGCCCTACGTGGCTTCCCTGGTGATTCTGCCTAAAGCAAGGAAAGAAATGTTACCACAAATAAAACTTTATAATGTTTCACTAACTTCAAACCTATTTAATATTTAAACTCTGAAAGATTTTTGTGGTTTATGGCTTCTATGCTTTTTTTGAACTATTAAGATTTGAACCTGCCTTGGATAAAAATAGATTTATTCAAACCAAAAACCCCCAAACACTTTGGCAAACAATATTTCAGCTGGGCAAAGCAAGCCCAAAAATAACAGACACAAATCTACAGGAAAGCTCCATGGCCTCAATGTGAAATCAGAACTGAGTGCCAGAGGTTGGAGTTGGTCCCTTCATTTCTTCCCTTCAAATGCCCAAGTGCAGAATTAGGATGGTTACTTGGAACTTTGGGAGAGAAGAACTAATTTACTGAAAAAATTCTATGAGGGGCTAAGACAAGCACTGCAGGAAAGGCACCATTTCCAGGGTGGGATTTGCCCCCATGCACTGTCAGCTGTTTATCCCTGTCCCCTCCAGTCTACCTTGCCCACTCTCAGGTTGTTGTTTGTCTTCTTCAGCTTGACGTTCAGGAGGTCTTTGAGCGTGATCTGCATCGGCCCATCCTTCTTCACTGGTGGGGCCTGAAAACAAAGGGGTTTGGGAGGGGAATCAGGACTGCCAGGTGAGTGTGTGTTCACAAACACGTTCCTGATGGATCCAGGCACCAGGGAGAAAACAGAGGAGCCTTCTGAGTCCTTACCAGAGGTGCTTTGGAGCCAGAGCCCCGTTTGAGGAGGAGAGGTGCTGGAGGCAGGTTTGGTGGGGGCAGTGGTGGTGGTGGTGGTGGAGGAGGGGGAGGAGGAGGAGGAGGAGGTGGTGGAGGTGGAGGAGCAGGCACTGATGGTAGAAGGTTCATCTGTGTCTGTACAGGAGCACCCAGGACTGGTCTGTGACACCTTTGGCAAAGAGAATTTTCTGGAGACAAAGCTGCAGGTCCGTTCATCTGAAAACGACATAAATAAACAGGAGGGCATTAAATCCACCGGCAAAAGGAGATGGAATTTTAGAGGACAAAGGTTCTGGCTAAAGCTGATCTGTGCAGGCACAAAAGCCTTTTAGGAGGCTCATCAGCAAAACAGTTCCCTCTGGCTGTGAGGAAACTGCAGTTCAGCAACACTGAGTGCAGGAATGCCCTGTGAGAACCCTTCAGATTTCTGAGTTCCTGCACTGACCACAGTTCCTCACATACCCACACACACAAACATCATCCCATCCCAACAGGACTGGCACTGACCTGGAGTGTTTCTTGGAGCTTAGAAAATTCACTTTCCAACTTTTCCAGCTGCTCTCTCAACGCATTTAGTTCCCTTAAGTAGATTTGTGACGGAAATACGGTGTCTTTAACCACTTTAAAACTCTGAGCATAAAAAGAAAGCACATTTAGTGTTTTCACCACCAGGTTCTGTTTCCAGAGACAAGGCTGTGATTACTATGCAAAGTTCTATGTCAAAGTCTTACTGCAGTCCCTGGAAAAGCACAACAGGAAGATACAAAATTTCATCAAATAGTTCCCTGACAGGAACCCAAGGAGTGACTTTCTTAAAGAACTTTCACTTCATCTAGGAATTCTAAAGTAAAATTCACATTTGACCTGAAAAGCTCAAATTGCACATATGCAAGCAGCACATGCTGGGATTCTTGGGACTGTCCTGGGCAGGGCCAGGAGTTGGACTTGGATGATCCTTGTGGGTCCCTTCCAACACAGGATATTGTAGGATTCTATGATTTAATGTCTTGACACATCTCCTATTTACTCCTTCAACATTAAACACTAAATATACCTTCTATGTCTCAATACAGTTTCAATGTTTCAATAAATACACTTTAGACAACTAAATGTACAGCTCAGCTCTCCAATGTCCCCCTGTGATCTGTGTCTGAGCACAAAGAACCACCTCCCACGTGCCTAAAACTGTACCTGTGCAACCGTGTTCTGGCCCCACCAGCACAGAAACCACGCTGCTGATTCCAAGGGTTTTACCACAGTTTTTGCAGCTGATTCCAAGGGTTTTACCACAGTTTTTGCAGCTGATTCCAAGGGTTTTATCACAGTTTTTGCTGCTGATTCCAAGGGTTTTACCACATCTTTTATGCTGGGCAAGGCTGGTGGCCAGAGGGAGCCCCTTGGGAAAGGTGTTGTGTTCAGAGGGAGATCAGCGGGTGACCTGCAACAGAATTTCTCAGGGTGAGGCCAGAATTGTATTTATCATTTCAGCCTTTATTAAAGTTAACTGTGACCAATCATCTGGAAATTACAAGAGGGAACAGCAGGTAACAAGAGAGTAAATGTGACCAGAGAAACCAGGGGAGGGCAAGATACATTTCAATAAAGGAGGAGGGGGGGATAATATTTGAAATCAGTTTTTATTCAGATTGCTTTTCCTGGTTATCAAAGTTAGTCATGGAGTCACTAAGGTTGGAAAAGACCTCCAAGATCACCATGTCCATGAAGTTATTCCACAGCAGCCCTGCCAGGATGCAGACAGGCTCCAAACACAATTCCACTCCCTCAGTTCCATGAGGAATTGGGAGCAAACAGCAAAACCCAGGAATTGGGTGAAAAGGCAAAGCTCAGGCTGAGCCTCTTACCGTGGGGAAGGACAAACTGAGCCCTGGGGCTTTGCAGCATCTCTCTTTTGTTCCGCTCGAAATCTTCCCCGGGCTCTCCTTTTCCGTCTGCTTTTCTTATGCTTTGCCATCGCTGGTCAAAAAGACACATTTAAAATGAATTTCCAGAGAGCAAATTACACACTGGGGCAGCCCCTCAGACATCCAGGCACAGGTTATTCACAGCTGCCTTGCTGGAAGCATCACATAATGCTGATAAAAAAATAAATCCTTAAGTTCTTATGAGCCACAGGGATGTCTTTGTAACAGAGTAGTGGACACAAAAAGCACCATTTTATAATGGGTTTCTTTCCCCCTATTTATGTAATAAATAGGTGTTATAAATAAATATAATTTATTATAAATAAATATAATTATTATAAATAATTAGAACAAATATATTAACATATAGCTATGGTAAATAAAAATATATAGCTGTATTAAATAGTAATATATAGCTAGCATAAAATATAAATATAGCTAGAATAAATATAGAGCTAGAATAAATATACATAGACATAAAAATGTCGGTATATTAATTATATTCAGGTGGTTTTTTTAAATCCTGAAGCGACAAACCCTGAATTTCGGCAAAACGACGCTTGTGGAGAACGGAGGCAGAAGACACAAAGACGAGGCCCCGGGATGGGCCCGGTCGGTCCCTCACCGGTGACCCCGCACCGGGGCGCGGGGGCTCCTCACATACACACACACATACAGACCTGTGGGGGTGTCCCCGGTGCCGGGGGGTGTCTCAGCAGCCCGGGGGTGTGCCCTGTGCCCCCCGGGATCCCGGGGGTGTCCCTGGAATGGGGGGGTGTCCCGGGGCCTGCCCGTCCCCCCCGGCCGCACCCGCCGCCGATTCAAACGGCAGCCGGCGGCGCGCTCAGCCAATGGCAGCGCCGCTCTCAGCCGCGGCCCCCACGCGGAGCGTGTAAGCCGCTCGCTGATTGGCTGCCGCGCTGAGGTACACACCCCCCCATCCCGCGCGCTCCACCGGAGCGGGGCCGGTGCTGCCCCCGCCCCGTCCCGGGGGCCGCCATTGGGAAAGCGAGTCCGGCGCCGACAATCGGCGGGCAGCGCTCGGCCGGGGAGGCCGGTGGGGCGCCTGGAGGGGAACAACAGCCCCACCGGGGGCACCGGAGGGACCGGGGTGAAACTGTGGGAGGGGTGACCAATGCCCGCCCCGCCAGCGGCGCGCGCCCCGCCCCGGCCAATCACGGCGCGGAGCCCACTCCGGGCCAATCAGCGCCGCCGTCCCTCGGAGCGGGTTTACATTCCCGCCGGGCCAATGGCGAGGGCGCTCGGAGTGCCGCGGGCCAATGGGAGGCGCGCGGCGAGTGACAGCTGGCCAATGGGAGCGCCGCGCGGGGGGTGGGGATCGCCCCGCCGCCGCCTGAGGAATGTCAACTATTCAACATGGAGACGGCGCTCGCCAAGCTCGAGGCCATGGTGAGGGCGGGCGGCGGCCGCGCTCGGGGCCGCCCGCGCCGCGGGGCCGCCCGCCGGCGGCGCCTGGCGGGGCGCGGGGCCTCCGCGGACAGGAGGGAGGGAAGGGAAGGAAGGGGAGAGCGCGGGCGCGGCGCGCCGAGGGAGAGCGGCCGCTCAGCCGCGCCCGCCGCTCCGCATCCGGGCCCTGAGCGCGGCCCGCGCCGCCCTCGGCGGGGCTCCCGCCGGGCGCGTCCGGGTCAGGCGGGTTCGGCCGGGCCGGTCCATTGCGCGGCCCCCCCCGCGGGGCGGGGCCTGCGCGGCGCTCGGCGCGGGGCAGGGCGCGGCCATTCCCGCGCACCTGGGGGGGGGCGGGCGCGCCCACTGCGCGGGGGACGCGGCCGGGCCGCACCATGTGCGGGGAAGGGGGGAGGAACGCGGGGCACAGCGGGGCGAGGGGAGAGCCCATTCCGTCCCGGCGGGGGAGAGGGAGCGCTCACCTGGGCTGGACCATTTTGAGTGCGGGGGGGGGGCAGGGGGGCCCTTCTTTCCCAGCTCCAGTTCCAGGAGTTTTCCCAGCCTTGGACTCCGGGCTCTCCCTTATGGAATGGTCGCCTCCCCGTCTGCCCCGCTCTTGGAAAAGTGGGAAAAAAGCGCAAAAAATAACCTCCCAGAAAAGAGCTGTGCTCTGCTTCCCTGATGGAGGGGCGCTGGAAAGCTGTCCCTGACCGGCCGAGTTCCTCCTGGCATCCCTAAAACCTCCATCTCCCTTCTCTCTAATCTATTTTCGCATTAAAGATTCTCCCTCGGTCTCCCCATATCTTTTCTCTTAGTATTCTTTTTTTTGTTTGTTTGTGTTTAAGCCTAGTCTAGAAATAATAATTTAGAACTATGTTTAGAGCGACTCGGGTCATATGCTTTATTTATTATTTTTTGATTGATTGATTGATGGATTGATTATTTAGTTAATATGGTTTAAATACGTGTTTTATTGAAAGTCTTACTTTCAGGTGACTCTGACGTGTAAATAGTCACAGAGGTGTTTTTTGGCCCCCTTAAGGTTAACGGGGTATTTTACACCTGGTGGTGAAATTCGGAACAGTTTCCCACATCCCAGCTTTGTGTCTCTTTTGCTTTTCCTTCTGCTTCTTGTTTCTTCTGCCTGGATTTCCCGTGAGCTCAGCTAAAACACTTCTTTCCCCCCGAGGGTTTGACACGAATTTCATGGGAAGCTTCATTGTAAGGAGCCAGGGATAAACGAATTAGCGGGAGTTTAAACAGAACAATGGGCATGAAAATACCAGGTAATCAATTGTTCAGCAACACCATCACATCTGCAGCATGAGATTAATGACAGAAAAAATCATAAAGCTCTCCATGTAAATAAACCAAGGCCAGGCTGGTGGAAGGTGGAAGGGGGGGAATGAGATGAGTTTAAGGTCCCTTCCAGCCCCAACATTCCATGAACAGCCAGTGCTGTATCCCAGGAGAACGGGCTGCACAAGTTCCTTGGAGTCAGCTGGGAATGGAGCCTTTCCAGGAGCTCCAGCAGGCACAGTCAGGGCTGCAGGGAGAACTCAGGGTGCTGAGAACTCCCTCCTTCTGCACTGAGGGAAACTTTGTGGGCATCCACTGAAAAAACTGGATACTAAATGGATAAACCACCAGATGAGCTTCGTTCAGAGCAGTCCAGTTCTGTCACTGGATTTTTGGTACTGTGGACCTGCTTTATTTGCCTGGAGTGGTGTCTGTCCAGTGCCCTTTTTATGTTGTACTACTAGTGATGATGCACAGAAAGCAGTGCAATGTTAAAAGGGCATTGGCCAGCAATGCTGTCTGCGTTATATTCTTATTTTTGCTGCAGTCCCACACCCAAAGTCACTGCCTGAGCCCAGCAGGTGATCTGCAAAACAGCTGGGAAATGGTTTTGCCACTGATTTTTTTTGCTAGGAGACTCGTTGTCTTCTACTTCCTTTCCAAGGAGAATTATTAAGTGGTTTTTTTGGTGACAAATATCATCATCTCAGTGTCTCTCCTGAGAAATGAGTGCCCTGCAAGGAGCAAAGAACACTGTCCAGCATTCCTAGTTCCTCTCCTCTCCACTCCCAGGTTTCTTTGCATTTTGTTGTTAAGGATCTCAGCACCTTCAAACCCTGAGAGTTCTCAAACTTTCAATATGAAGTTAAAAAAAAAAACCACTTTCATTTAGATTTATGAAATACACCCCCAGTATGGGGGTCCTCTCACACCCAGGTGGCAACCCCAGGGATAAGGTTGGGATAAGAGCTGGGAAATGGATGTTCCAGTACATTTTAAAGTGATTCAGCACCTGCAGGTTACAAAGAATAAACTCTGATGTCTAGAAAATATTCCCTGTAATGCAGTTTAAGAACATCTGACAGCGGTTCAGAACCTTCTCTTGCTACGAGGCAAACCTAAGGGATAAATACATTTTGGAATTGTAGTTTCCATTAAAAAAAAACACCCAAATTGTTTGAAACCGAATTTCTGCTGAGCATTTTGTTGGGTGGCTTGGTGTTTTTTCCCTCCTTTTGGTCAGGGAACGACGGGGATTCTGAATAACAATAATAATAATAATAATAATGTTTTCAAATATGTGAGCTTTTGTGTGTCAGGACTTGATGAACTTGAATATCACCCAGTTCTTCGTGATTTACAGCAACTGATGTGGTTTTTTGCCTTTTTTTGAGCGTGTTTTGAGCCCTGCCCAGAGCTGTTTCTGCTCTCGAGTGCTCTGACTTTATTGCACTACTGTCCTGTCCAGCGAGCAGTGCAATAGTATTGTCAAAGCATCTGAGAGCAGAGCACCTTCAGCCTCCCTCCCGAGCCTGTGAGTAAATTACACATTTACACCTCAAAACCTGCGTTTTCTCCGGGACTGTTGGGGTTTTTTTGGTGTGTGTTTCCGGAAATAACAGTGAGAAATGAGGATTTATGGAATGAAAAGCGGTGATACCGACCTGTGTTTAGTTTTTCACTGAGCACAGATCTTAAACTTGTTTGAAATTGGATAAGTTTTTAGCTTCACACCCGGTTTTTGATGGGCTGCCTCGCAGCAGAAGCCTGGTGTTAGTGGGTAATGTCCTTGTGGAAGTCTCAGATTATCAATATTGAATATTTCGTGGGTAATTCTGAAAGCTGCCTGTACCCGTTGTCTGCTTTCCCCAAAATTAATCAAAATGAGGAGTTGGAGAAAAGCAAAAAAAAAAAAAATCATCTCTTTGGGGTGCCTGCCTGTGGAAATGAAAACCTAAAAACGTTTGCTTAGCAGAGGGAAAGAGAAATGATTGGGCAGTTAAGGAGAAAATCCCTCAAGAGCTCTTTAAAAATCTGTAGTGTATTGAAAGGTATTTTAACCAAGTTAAGGAACTTACAACCATTTTTAACTTGCTTTCATCACTGTCTCCTCTGTGACTGTAAAACCCACCAAATTATGGTGTAAAAAAAAAAGTGAGTGGCCTGTGAGCTGGGAAAAGTGCCTGCCTTTAAAGTGGAAATCTTTAATAGATATTTAAATTGCAGGCTAAAATTAATGAAGTGGCAATGCCATCAGCAGGCTGCTTTCCCAAGGCAATTAGATAATTCTCTGGTGGCTTTTTTATCCCAAGGAGAGAGAAGTGATGTCATCAATCTGACTGGCTGTTAGTCAGCCTGGTTTATGGGGGAATAATGGAATGTGTTGTGGGCATTAAAAGCAGCTGAGGGAACACATCCCTGATGTAAAGAACAGCAGAACCTCTGGTGATGCTCTTGGATCCTGGACCCTTCTTCATGATCTCTGCTGGGTGAGAGTTCTGCTGACAGAACTTGGAAAATATTAACTTTGAAAACTGGTTTTATGCTCTCCTGAAACACAGGAAGGGCAAATGGTTGGGGTTTGTCTGCAGTTTTTGGTTTCTAACACGCTGTGCCTGACCTTAAATGTTTCAGTTCCAGAAGGCAGAGGCTGATCTGGATTGGATTCAACACAGGCTGGAGTATGAAATTAGGAGAAATCTTCCTGATGATGCACCACCAGAGGTAGGGTTAATAATTAACTTTTTTTTTGATTAAATTAATAGATTTTACTGCATTTTCTATGAAGATGGTAACAAATGGGACCGTTCTTTTATCTGCTTGTTAGGTTTTTATTACTGTTATTATTAGAAAGTATTCCCTGCATCATTTAATCAAGATAACTGGCCTAGAATAAATTCAGACAAAACCCCCTTGGTTTCTTGGTACAGGGGAGTTCTCCCATGAGAGAAATTAGTAGTGGTGACCCCTAAATTCAAGAGACAGAGCAAAGGTGGGTCTGAGCTCTGAGATCCAACTTCAACTTGCTCATAAATAATGGCTACATTGATACTTGGAGGAGAGATGAGAGGAAGAGGAACAACAATAAATGACATCATTGTAACCTACAGCAGAAAAATCATTTCTTTTGGTAGAACTCTATCTCAGAAAAGCTATTAAAGGTCTCCAATACAAGAAATTCTTCCTCCTGTACTTGTTGTGGGACCACAGAGTTATGCAGGTGTATTAACACCATCTGTGGAAAAGGAAATGTAGAGTTGGAACATCCACACTTTTCACTGGACAGGCCCATTCCATGTCCTGTTTTGGTGCCTCCAACGCCTGCACTTTTAACTGGTGTTCAGCCAGGTTAATTTTCTTTGCTGGCCTGGTGTAAATGTGCTTTTCCTTTCTCCACAGGAGGACCCACTGGCCATCCTGGAGGAGCTCTCAGCGGCAAAAGCTCGTTACAAAGCACTGTGCACACGGATGGACAAAATATCCAGGGAGCAGAAGGAAGCCATGGAGAGCCTCCAAGCTCCTGTGGAGAACACAATGAAGATAATTCAGGAATTACAGCAAAAAGCTTGTCTTGAGGTAGTGGTTTCCTTTGAATCACTTTGTTTCCACTCCTGTAAATGAGCAGGTACTTTGTAGCCTTTCCTTACTGTGATGGAAATTGCTGTGCAGAGTGCAGGCTCCTGGAAGAAGATGAGAAGATGAGTTCCCAGAAGAAATTCCTGCAGGATTGGAGCTCTTTTTGTAAATCCCAGTTCCCCAGCACTGGGAGCTGAAGCAATACCTGAGTGGTGTCAATAATTTCGTAGGAATTTCAGAGAAATCAGTGCCTTTGTGCACAGCTGTGTCCCAGGGCCACGCTGACACATCTTCTAGGAATGGAAAATGGACACTGAAAGCAATTTTAAGAGGCAGAGAAGCTTTTAAATGGAAAATGTTCTTTTTCACTGTCTGAAGTGAGTCAGTTGAAACCAACACATTGTAACAAACACACTGGGATTATAAATTTGTCCTCAGTGGGATGATGCCTCTCTAGCTATTAAAGAAACCAAGAACACATTTCCCTAAGTGGTCTGCAGACACTGCTTTGTTTCAGCTATGAGGAGATTGTGAAAGCATTAATTTTGTCCCATTAAAAATCAGGTTGTGGTGGATTTTTCAGGAATACTTTGCCTGTGATTTTGCTTTCAGGTGAAGGAAAGTGGGAGTCTGCTCTGAGTGTCCATGAGAAAAGGGCTCCAAAAACATTGAGTTCCTCTGTAAATGTCATCACTCAGGAACCGAAGGATCAGAGTTCTCTGTGTTTGCTTTTTGATTTCTTTTTCTTTCCTAGAGCTCCCCCCTGTCAGCAGCAGAAGAGGCTGCAGCAGAGCAGCTGGGCATCCAGAGTGGGGGAGGTCTGGAATCATCAGTGGAAGAGGTAATTATGGCACGGAGTGTCGGGGTCCCAGGAACCAGGAATCCTGAGTGCAGCTCAGAAGGGCTGTTTTTGGGACTTGATGCCTCTCAAATGAGTGGCATTTTTATCAGAAATGGGATTCAGCTCCTAACAAACCTTTTCATTTTTGAATTGTTCCACTCGAATTGTCCCCACGAAGGAAAAATGAGCTTTGATGGGAGACTTTGTTGCCCTTGTTTTTTAATTGGGATGTGTTTATGTTTCTTTTCAGGCATGCAGTTGGTTGCTCTTGTTGATCCTCTTGTTCTGTTAATGCATGAGATAAAAAAACCTTTGGGTGGCAGTGAGGGGTGTAAATGATCCAAACCAACAGTATCTCAACGTGGGGAGAGATTTAATTTCCTGTAAAATATTACATGAGTTCTGGGATATGAGTAACCAAGTATTCTTGCAGTAGAACACAGATATAAACTTAAGATTTGCTGAAAAGTCGGATGTTCTCCCATAGCTCAAAGCAGAAAATTCCAATTATAATTATCTGCAAAGAGTTGGTTTGGGTGTCATGTTAAAAACACAATATTAAAGAGGGTCAATAGAGTGTGTTTATCTGATTGATCTTGTCTTTTTGGCTATGCCTTCTCGCTGCCCACTGTCCCAGGGACACCCCACTTTCTGTCCCTTTATTGCCATTTTATATCCATTTTAAACTCAATTTGTTTGAAGCTGTGTTTGATCCCTTGTGCTGGTGACAGCTGCAAGATCCTCTGTTATCCAGTGGTAAAATGTAACCACTTGTGCAGGAATGAAAGTGGAAAAAAAGAATTTCTAAGCAATCCTGACAACAAATCCTGACACTTGTGCCGTGTTTATTTGTAGGCACATTATGCAAGATCTACAGTCTCTGACTCAGATGAAGGTAAGTGCTGAAAAAATAAACTTCCCCCTGTTTTCTTCTTGTAAAACCTGTAAATAAAGACAGTAAATTCACTGTTTTCACTCTCAAGCACCAGTAACTCCTGATTTTATGTGAAGAATTCAGATTTTAGTGTAAGAACCTGAGCTCTTAGCTACACTCTGTGGATAGTTCTGGGATTTTTTCTTGCTGCTGGTGGGATTGAAGTGCATTCTGCTTTGCTTATGGTATGGAAGAAATGGTCTTGCCATAAAAACAGCTCTTTTAAATCAATTTATCCCTACTTATGGAAAGGAATTCTCCTGTTTTGCTTTGGTTTGGTTTTTGAAACACAGCTAAATAGTCACTGACAGACCAGCTTTGTTAATCCACATCAGAGCTCAGATTAAATGATTTTTCACCGGGTCTGCAGATACAGCGATAGTTTGGAGGGAGTATCTTCCTTCCCTCCTTCCTCTTGCTGGAAAATCTTCCTTTAGACCCATTTAGAGGGATTATTAAACTATCTTTGGCCTAGCTTTTGGAGAAACAAAAATGTTCTATTTCCAGTTTTTTCACCAAAATATCTTCCATTTTCAATTTTTTGACATCCCAATTCAAAGCACTGACTGAGGGAATGCTTCTGACTGTACCCAGGCCCATCAGATGATCTGTCCCATCAGCAGATTTGAACTCTGTGTACAGGGAGTTATTTAACCACTTTGTAGTGACTAAGAACAAGATTTAAAGCCATTCAATAGCAAGAATTTCATAAGCTCTAAAGAAACTCAGCCTGTTTTAAATTAAACAAACTCAAAGAGTTAACCATTCACTGCCATATTATAACTTCATAATGTGATTTTACTCCCCTACACCCTTCCTGATTGGGTACACACCCCAAAGTGTTAGACCATTATACAAACCCCTCCTGAATTAATTTGGGTAAAAATGCTTTGATCATTTTCAAAGCTGCATTTGGGGTTCTTCAGACCTTCTCACTTTGTTTTCACTGTACAGATGTCCAGGTCTGGGGCTGCTCAGGGCAGTTTTGCTGACACAGTCGTACTGCCAGGCCCTTTTAGTGTTCAGAATCTGCAGCCAGACTGGAAAAGCAAAGCCCTGACACTAAACCATGACCCCCTCAAGCCCTGCCCTCCTCTCCCCAGCCCCTCCTGCCTCTCCAAGGCCTGATCCCTCCCTGGAATGTGCTGTGGATTTCTGGCAGGCTGAGGTTACAAACAAACGAGTTTTGAACTCGGGAATTCTGTCTCTTTAACCCCAAGGCTGGATTAGCAAATGACTTCTCTGATTTGAAGTAGCACAGAAAAGCTGATGGTGTAATAAGGGTGAATTTACAGAGCACTCACAGAAATCATTCCTTACGGGCTTTTTAGCCTTTTTCTGCCTGTTTGATGCATGTTTTGGTAAATAGTTTGTTTTTGTCTTGCAGAGTGGGACTGAGTTTTTCACAGGTGGATGAGATGAGCACGAAACTCGCTCAAGAATGCAAGTCCTGGAAGAACTTGGTACTGTGAAAAGCAACAAAAAAGGGACTATTAAAGTAGCCGTGTAAGCGAAAGCTCAGCCCGTTCTCCTCTGAGACACAAAGCACCTTGGTCACAGCTCCTGGATTGTGAAGGAACAAATATTTCCCTGGGATCTAAGAGCTGCTAAAAGCCCACTGTTGGAAAGCTGTTATGTTTCTGTGCACAAATTCTGTCTCTAGTACTTAAAACTGGAGAGTTAAAAACCACCGAGGCTGGCCTTTTGCCTTAGATATTTCTATGGTCAATGCATTTTTTTTTAAAGAGTGTTAATGAGCCACGTGACATTTTCTTGCTCTCCTCCTTTGGTGGGGTTTTTAACAACCCAAGCCTCTTAAGTGTACTTACATTCCTGAATAAATGATGAAAGCTAAGGAGGTGCCGTAGATTTATTACACTTTTGTGACTCCAGACCCTGTGCCTTGCCCTGACCCCTGAACCTGGGCCCTGACCCGCTCCATTCTCCTTTGCTGGGAACTCCCTTGGGATTTTTAGAGTCCAGGGAAACCGGAGGCTCCCAGAGTAGCCGAGGTTGGAAGGGACCTCTGGAGAGTGTCCAGTCCAACCCCCTGTCAGGAGCAGCTGTGGCAGATCCTGAGGGCAGATCCCTCAGGGCAGCGTCCTGAAAAATTCCAAGGATGGAGAATTCACAACAATTCACATTGTTTGACCACCCTCGCAGTGAAAAACAGAAGGAGGATTTTTTTTTTTTTCTTTCCTGGCGTTTAATATTTCTATATTTATTTCAACCTAATTAGAGGATAAGATATCCAAAGTTTTACCAAGTTCCTGTGGGGTTTTCTGAAAAATTATGTCCATCAAAGGAGAGGAATTTAAATTAGTGCTCTTGGGGAGGGGAGGCTGATTTCTGAGCTCATTGAGGAGCTGGTTTAGGGTTTGATGGGAAAAAGCACAGGCTGGATGTTGAAAAAAAAGGGAGGAAAGAACAGAAAGTTGCTTTTATGATATCTGATACCTAGTGTGCCCTTTACGTACATGTAATTAACCAGTTTCACAAACTGATTTGATAGCTAAGCATTTAATCATATTCATCAGCTTTCAACAGAGGGCTCGATCCCGTCACTTCCGCCAGCAGCGTGAAATATTTAATTTATTAGCGAACCGTGGCTACAATAACCGGAGATACCCGTCAGCGGGCAAACAGCTTCGGCACGGGCGACAGCGGCTTCGCTTTCTGGAGATGTGCTGTGTGTGGAAACCCATCCCCGCTCGTGAGCTGCGTGGAGCAAAATAAAAGAAAAAAAAAACCACCAAAACCCGAAGTTTTTATTTTCGACCCCGCGGAGCCGCCGCTCCCCTCAGGGCCGGCCCCGCCCCCCGCGCTCCCCTCAGCGCGGCCCCGCCCCTTCCCCGCGGGCGGCCCCGCGCGTGCGCACTGCGGGCGGGGGGCGGAGCGGCCGCGCTGCCGCGGGCACGGCCGGGCCGGGGCTGGGTCCCGGGCGCTGTCCGTGCCCGCCCGCTCCTCACACCCCGCGGAGCCTCCGCTCCTCACCCCGGGCACGGGCAGAGAGACAGAGAGGGCCGGGGACAGCCGTCCCCGCGCCCGCCGCCGCCGGCGGGGCCGCAGCCATGGACGAGCAGAGCGTGGAGGTGAGCGGTGAGCGGGCGGCGCGCGCGTTCCCCTCAGGGGTCCCTTCAGGGGCTCCTCACACCCTGCCCGGCTCACCCCTCGGCGGGGGCTCGGTGTGAGGGGAATGGGGGGTGGGGGAATAAAAAAGGCCGCTCGGCAGCGGCTCGGGCGCGCAGGGAGGCAGCAGGTGGGGATGTGGGAGGAGATGAGCTGCGGGAGCAGCGCGGGTGCCAGTTCCGGAGCTGGCGGGAGGGAGGGAGGGAGGGGAGGATGGAGGGATGGAGACCTGGCACAGGGCAGGATGGAGGGATGGAGACCTGGCACAGGGAAGGATGGAGGGATGGAGGCCTGGCACAGGGAAGGATGGAGGGATGGAGACCTGGCACAGGGAAGGATGGAGGGATGGGGACCTGGCACAGGGAAGGATGGAGGGATGGAGACCTGGCGCAGGGAAGGATGGAGGGATGGAGACCTGGCCCAGGGAAGGATGGAGGGATGGGGACCTGGCACAGGGAAGGATGGAGACCTGGCACAGGGAAGGATGGAGGGATGGAGGCCTGGCACACACACGACCCTCCTTGGCACCGGGAAGGGCTCTCTGTCAGCCGGCAGCTCGCACACCTGCTGAGGGCTGAGAGCAGCCAGACCGGGGAAGGGTTCTAAAGACCATCTGTGACAACCTGCTGTGCGTTGCATTCCGATGGTTTGCGGCTGTTAAAGAGGGCGATGTGTACGACCTGCTGTGATACCTGTAAATTGAACGTGTGTCTTGCTTTTGTGCTGATTCATAATTTTAATACTGTGGGGAAAAGATTAACCCTCCTGGAGAACCTTTGGAAGTTCCATAGTTAAAACCCTGACTCCTGTATAATGCAGAATTTCTTTATCAGTTAAAAATCTATCAATATGTGAAGCAAACATTGCTTTCAAAATACCTATCTCGTTTGGGGAATGGAGAGAGGTGAGCTGGTTGCACTGTAGAACAGAATGCTGCTCTCTTCAAATGGGTGTAGCAAAAATAGGTTAGGTTGCATTTTTATCACCCCAGATTGGTTAAATAGGCTGGGAGAGAGCTAGTGCTGGGCCATAAAAGAATGTAAATCTTATAAAAGCATTCTCTCTCATTAGCATTCTGTATGTCACACACATGCACTCACTGTGATTTTGAGTCAGTTTGGTGCCTGTCCAGTGATGTTGGTGGGTGCAGATCCTGCAGGTGCAGCCCAGCTTCTTCTGGCAACTGTTCAACCCCGGTGAGCTCAGGCAGGAATGATATCCTGGCTCCAGGAAGGCCTGCTCCAAAAAAAAAAAAATTAGATGAGGCAAACACAGAAACTATTCCTTGAAGAAGGAGGATATGAAATGGTGCGGAGGAGGAGAGCCCTGGTGCCGAGGGGATGGGCTGTTTGGGGATGGAACCGAAGCGAAACCTGGCGCTCTGCCTGGCAAACAAAGGCAACTCTGCTGTGTTTGAAAGGCCGTGGTTTAACAATGGTGATAATCCCCCCCCTTTGCAGAGCATTGCCGAGGTGTTCCGATGTTTTATTTGTATGGAGAAGCTGCGGGATGCCCGCCTGTGCCCCCACTGCTCCAAGCTGTGCTGCTTCAGCTGCATCCGGGTGAGTTCGCTGCTCGGAGTTTTATTTTTGCACATGCATGAGCTGAAAACCAGCTGATCTTGTGAGAACGCTCTTGTTCCTTTTCCTGGAGTTCCAAGGATTCCTTTTTCTTCCTCCTCAGTTTCCCTTTCAAACACTTTTACAACACCCTGAGGAAAAACTGGGCGGGCTGTGCTTTGCTAATTATAGGGACCATCTGCAATGAGCGCTGCTAAGGAAGAGACACACAATGATTCCTTCTTTTAGCATCTCCTGAGAGCCTCTGGTGCCTGTGTGGAAGGCAAAAGTTGGGACAGGAATCAGATGCTGACTCTGCATCTGGGAAGGTCATAACGTCACCTCTTGTACCCTGGAGATGATTTATAATGCTCATCAAAACAGTGATCAGAAGGGTCTAAATCTTTCTCAGAGGAGTCTGAAGCAGCACCAGCATCTCAATTAATTTAAGGTGATGGTTACCAATGTATAACACCTCCGTTGCAAACCAGCTACAGTTACGTGTTGGTGTAGCAGGAGAGGGTTCAGCTGAGGTTCCCAGCCCTCCAAGTAGTATTTCCAGAAACTGGAACAGACATTCATCCTTTGCTTTGAAAGCTCTGACAGGAACTGGAGGTGAAGGATTCGAGCTGCATATTAAGAGTGTTGGATGACATATTGTTGCTGGGTGGTGAGAGATTATTCATGAGAATCTTTAAATGTAGTAGTGAGCTGACAAATATAAGCCCATCAACTGCTGAGCTCTTCCACTTGGGAGTTGTAGTGGGCAGGTGAAGTTCTTTGCTCAACTGTTTGTCTCTGGAGCTTTCTGGAAGGGAATCATTCACAGGTCCCTGTGGATTTGATCATTGAACTGCAGGTTATTTAACTGGCCTATAAATAGGAAGGAATAAGTTACCTTGAAGACTAATTAGACTCTGAAAAATAGGCTTGTTGTACCTTTTGGCTTCCTCTATTGAAACGTTCTCTTTAGTCTGAGACTCCAGGAACCTGCCAAGTGGGTGGCTTCTAATGCAGTATTTGGTACCTCAGACTCCTCTGTGTAATTTTAACTGAAGCATCTTTGACATCTAAAGAAAAGTGGTTGCTTGTTACTAAGGTACAAACAGCAGCTTCTTCTGTGACTAAGTGGTTGAACAGTTAAATCTGTTAGAAAAAAAAAGGAAAAAATAGAGGAAGACCATAATAAAAATAAGTAACTCCTAATTAATGATAGAATGTACTTGCCTGCAGTTCTTCTCTTACACTCTCTTTTAAAAAGGTTTTTCCTCTTTCCATCACAGCGTTGGCTGACAGAACAAAGAGCTCAGTGCCCTCATTGCAGGTAAGGTATTTTTAATATCAGAAATCAGTTATCAGGAATTGGCTGTACTGCCCTGTTAGGATTGATTTTATTTCTTTTTTTTTTTTCAGTGCAGGTTGCATTAAATTTATTAGCTTGATTACTTTTTTTTTTTGAGACCTGGCTGTTGGTACTATAAAAATTGGCCCAGGTATAACACTGACTTTAAAATACATTCTGGTTTTGTGACAGGCTAAGATCTTTGTCCTTCCCATGTAACACTGCTGTTCTCAGTGCATGTAGTTCGTGTAATAAGAGTAACTAGATGGAATTCCTTCTAGAACTACCAGAAGCTTCACTTTCCAGACTGAAATGTGTCCTTTTTTTGTGCTGTAACTTGTATGACATCAGGCACTGTGGGCTGGTTCATTGTGGTTCCCACCTCTCCCCAAATCGGCAAACTGACTTAAAAATCTCTTTTTTTCCCCTAAATAACTAGTACAGCTCCTGCTTTTTTTTTATTTTTTGCCTGTGACTCTTCTGGTAGTGCAGAACCGATGAACTGAATTCACTGGAGTGAATTCCTTTCTCTCCTGGAGCCACATGGTCGCTCAGCCTGTGCTGTGCTTCTCGCAGGGCCCCGCTGCAGCTCCGGGAGCTCGTCAACTGCCGCTGGGCAGAGGAGGTCACACAGCAGCTCGACACCCTCCAGCTGTGCAACCTCAACAAGCACGAGGAGAACGAGAAGGACAAGTAAATGGAGCGTTCTTTGCGTCCAGTGATCTGTGGTTTGGCTTTTGGGAGGGGGGTTTTAGTTGTCGGGGAACAAAGGGGCGGACTGGCACCTGCAGGAAAGCTGAGCTGGGCTGTCGTTCCTGTCACGCC